GGCTACTGCTGACGACAGGTACTGTGCACGTAAGGATGTTTAATTTTGCCCCAGACAGAAAAACTCCACCACCTTACCAGGGGGTAAAAAACCGGGTCTCCCGCATGATAACGTTGCAACCACTTTGTGGTGACTACCGGCACCTACGTCATACACTTTGTGGTGACTACCGGCACCTACGTCATACACTTTGTGGTGGTGACTACCGGCACCTACGCCATACACTTTCTGGTGACTACCGGCACCTACGTCATACACTTTGTGGTGTCTACCGGCACCTACGTCATACACTTTGTGGTGACTACCGGCACCTACGTCATACACTTTGTGGTGACTACCGGCACCTACGTCATACACTTTGTGGTGTCTACCGGCACCTACGTCATACACTTTGTGGTGACTACCGGCACCTACGCTATACACTTTGTGGTGAGTACCGGCATTCTTCTTCTTCTTCTTCTTCTTCTTCTTCTTTTTTTTTTTTCTTCATCATCTTCTTCTGCTTCATCTTCTTCTTCTTCTTCTTCTTCTTCTTATTTTTCTTCATCATCTTCTTCTGCTTCTTCTTCTTCTTCTTTTTCTTTTTTCTTTCTTTCTTTCTTTCTTTCTTTCTTTCTTTCTTTCTTTCTTTCTTTCTTTCTTTCTTTCTTTCTTTCTTTCTTTCTTTCTTTCTTTCTTTCTTTCTTTCTTTCTTTCTTTCTTTCTTTCTTTCTTTCTTTCTTTCTTTCTTTCTTTTCTTCTTTCTTTCTTTCTCTCTTCTTTCTTTCCTCTTTCTTTCTTTCTTTCTTTCTTTCTTTCTTTTCTTTCTTTCTTTCTTTCTTTTCTTTCTTTCTTTCTTTCTTTCTTTCTTTCTTTCTTTCTTTTTCTTTCTTTTCTTTCTTTCTTTCTTTCTTTCTTTCTTTCTTTCTTTCTTTCTTTCTTTCTTTCATTCTTTCTTTCTTTTCTTTCTTTCTCCCTCTTCTTCTTCTACTACTACTACTACTACTTCTTCTTCTTCCTCCTCCTCTTCTTCTACTACTACTACTACTTCTTCTTCCTCTTCTGCTTCTTCTTCTACTATTACTACTACTACTCCTTCCCCTCCACCCACCTGCTCCTCATATGTTCCTATAATTTATGTTTATATGAAGACAATGCTTTAACTATTCGTTCCACTATCCCTCTCCTCCCTCTCTATTTTTCTATTTCTCTCTCTGGTTTTTCTTTATGTGTCCGTGAATGTGCTCTCGCACCTATGTATGATCTGTTGGTACATGTGTGCATCCTTTATATAGCTCTCTCTCTCTCTCTCTCTCTCTCTCTCTCTCTCTCTCTCTCTCTCTCTCTCTCTCTCTCTCCCTCTCTCATTCACACACAGCACACAAAAGAAGACACAAAATTTATGTTCCGATCCATATAATTAAAGATACAAAAAGACCTGAAAAAGTACACGACACATTTACAACAACAATTCCTTTAACAAAGAAAAATAAACAGGCCAACCAGGCAACTTGAACGCCTGATAGCATCAATGTCTATATACAGAACTATGGATATTCTAAGATCCGTGCCCGGGCAAATACGTTTAAACATAATTTTCATAAAAATTGTATCATAATAATTTGTTTTTAATATTGACAACAACAAAACATGCTTGAGAAAAATACATTCGCGTAATGACACATGACAAATGTAGAGCCAAAGATATGATGTCTGTCTGTCTATCAGCCTGTCTGTCTGTTTTTGTTCCGCAATATCCTCTTTCTCTTCTTTTGTGTTGGCTCGGTTATTGGGAACGGTTGTCAAACTGTGTTGTGGGTTACAGCTCAGTATCATGTAGTAGGACCTTCACAGAACGTCGCTCTCATCTCGCCAGCTCTCCCGCCTCATGCACTTTCTGACCCAAAGTGCCAATTATATCCTGTGCCAGTTGTTGTACTGGTCGATTTTGAGATCTCAGCATATCTATTCAATATATATTTACAAAAAGCATATTGAGAGAATGCACCCATGCCTCACTCCCTTTTGTACCTCGAACCAATGTGATGTTTCTCCAGCTGCTCTTACGGCTGCCTTTTGTGCCATCTATAAATAGAGTTTGCAGTCTCTGCATTCCTTTCCGTTCTATCCTGTTCCATCCTCTTTGTTGTTGTTGTTGTTGTTGTTGTTGTTGTTGTTGTTGTTGTTGTTGTCGATACAGCGACGCATGAGCTTTCGCCCTTTGGCCTAATGCCATGTAGTGGTGTTTTCACAAGCTGTTCTTTTCCTCCGTACAAGGTGTTCCACTTGTCTGGTCTCGGATGGAGTAGAATCCTTCTAGTCTCACTGAGTTTTGGGCACTCAAAGAGATGGTGTTCAACAGTTTCGTAGGGGTAGTTACATGGCTGGCACTCTGGGGAGTGTTGTGGCTGTATTCTGTTTAGGTGTCCATTGAGTGGAGTTTGTTGTGTTCTAAGTCTGAAGATGGTGGCCTGGTCCCTTCTTGTTAGACAGTTAATGCTGTCATTAGGATCCTCTTTATATCATTGAAGGAGTCCAGTCCATCGTTTGGTCTCTCTCTCTCTCTCTCTCTTTTCAGCGTAAAAAGATTCAACGGATGAGTGTTTCTCTTTGACGCCTTCGTGTCCTCAGAAGATTTGCTTCCGATTTCAGTGCCTGTTAAAGCAGGCACTAATCCCACCAAATGAGATCCTAATGTTTCGATTGGGTTTCATACCACCCCCCTGCCTCGCCTCCAGCTGCAACCTAAAGGTTTACCACAACCACCCACCCCCTTTTCTTCTTCTTCTTCTGTTCTCTACTTCTGGAATGGCTCGTGGAGCCTCGTCTTTACGTTCAATCAACATCCCCGAAGGGGGGGGGGGTGCTTTAGGTTATAATTGTGACTAGGTTATGTGCGCTATATAAAATGACTTAGCCTTGCATGCCACCAAAAGCCCTGAAAACGACTTCTGCGGGGTTGATGCGATCAAAGGAGACAGACCCAAATTCTGTACCGATCTACCGTCTACCGGCGAGTCTATGGGTGACCCGGTTGCCGATGCCCCCACTGAGCTCCCCCCCCCCCCCCTTTCCTTTCTTTACCCGACTTTTGTAAAGGAGATTACATTTGTCCCTTTACTCCTGACAGACTGATTTTTTACCCCACCAGGACATTACACAAGCGATAAGCACCCAGTGACACAAAGTGCCACTATGCGGATGAGGATCACCCGTGGAGAGGTCCCGGAAACCTCGTTCAGCCATTAGGCCATATTTAAGGCCTGGCTATATTTAGAGCCCCCGGCAAAAGCCAGGGTGGGGCTTCAAAATAACTAAAAATTGCATTCCACAGGGGGACGACTTGATTTACACGAGTAGAAGCTCTCTTTTAACGGTTATTAATATTACTATCATTTCAAATTATTTCAAATATATGATTATATATTTTTTGCCCTGCAGTACATCATGATTACTGCTATTGCTGCTGCTGCTGCTGCTGCTGCTGCTACAACTACTTTTACTACAAGCACTACCGCGGTCTTTGTTCCCAGAGTAGCTATTCGTCTGATTAAAATGTTGGACAAGGTTGAGTCACTTCCGAAATATGGATTCTTGAGTGTCAATTATTTAGACTACTATTTTGGGGCGAGGACTTGAGAGGGTGACGGTGTTGCACAAAGCACGAGCTATGTAACTCTATCTACTACCACTCAGAGATTTTAGAAAGAATAGACTCACTGCCTACCCAAAAGCATGTCGTAAGAGTCGACTAATTGGGAGCTTCCTTTAAAGTCGAAGTGCATCAGCATGAGAGGCAAGGAACCAACAGTCTGCATACAAATTAGTCAGATCTGTCAAACGGATGCACACGCAACACTCGAGTTCTGGAACAGGACTGCAGTTCAAAAGTGGACGAACAACCAGAACTTTCCGTCAGAGTTTACAGCTGGTGAACGCGAAGAAGAAGAAGAACTGACGATCACTAGGAAAATAGCCCGAACTTGAATTTGAACTTGAAATGAAATAGATAAACAAAAACAAAAACTCGGACTGCTTCAACCTGCCAGGACGGCTTAGCTTTATTTGCGTCTTTGATTCTTTGCGGTTTAGTAGCGTACTTCTCTTGTGGCGTATAGATACGCCAGATGTATTTATTACTTTTTTGTTTTCCTTGCTACTGTTGGATTTGGAGATGATTACCGTTTTTCCTTTGCTGGTTGTCAAGCACGCCGTCACTGACTGCACCAGAGCGGTTGCTAAGCACACCGTCCTAAAACTGACAAGCACGCCATTGAGCCTCCGCGTCACTCACAACGCCCTTTTCAGGGTCCCCCGTTTTACTTATTTTTAGCTTTTCTTTTTTCGCCTTATATGTGTATCTGGGCGTGAGCTTTTGTAAGGGGGGGGTGGGGGGTAGGGGGAGGGGGAGCCTTGCCTTCTCATTTTGGCTTTTTTTTTTTTTTTATTATCCAGTTTTCTTCTGGCCACACATGGAGTAGATGTGGTTGGAATATAAAACACAGGTTTTTTTTAAAAAATTGAATGCATGAATGTTTCGTAGGATATATAGCTAGGTCATAGCCCAAACTGATTCTACGAGCTTCAAAGAGCCAAGCATTTGATTCAACTGTTTTGCCATATAATTCCAACTCACCGTGCTCGCTTCAACTTATAGGGCAGCCGAGTGGTTTGTGTTGATTTCAACAATGATATACATGTTGACCGTTTAGCAATAAATGGAAAACTATTGGGCTTTAAATTGCCCAGTAAAATCATAAACATTTAACAAATGATGAGGTTGTTTTCCAGATCAAGTTAGGACATTTAACCAACTGTTTTAACTTCTGTACAGTGCCTGTGTGTGCTTGCCTGCGTGTCATTCACACGTGATGTGGTCACGCGCACGTATGTGTGTTCGCGCACTCGTATTGTTTGTGTGTGAGTGTGTGTGTGTGTGTGGGGGGGGGGGTAATCTAAGTAATGTGTGCGCGTGAGTAATGAATGTATCGAGTGAATGTGTAGGAGCGTTAGGTTTGCTATTATACAGTAGCCTGGACAGAAACAAATTTGAAAGTCAAATGCAGGCCGGCGACAAACAAGCTGGCAAGCCACGGGACATGGCTAGAAGAAGCGGTGTTGTATTGTCTTCGCTCGTCGTAATAAAAGTTCATTTTGCTGCAGAGGCTGTTGTAAATGTTGGGAAATGCCTGTGAGACGAAATATATATATATATATATATATATATATATATATATAAAATATTCTAAATAAAAATATATATTAGATACAGCGCTTGGCTTGATTTGGGTGTAGCTAAAAAAAAAGCTACAGCTTACATTAAGCTACATTCTGCAGTGGCCACCAAGATTTTTTTTTTAGATAAGTAGGTAGATAGATCTGTAGGTAAGTATGTAGGTAGGTAGGTAGGTAGGTAGGTATGTAGGTAGGTCTGGTCGGCTCAGTGGGTGGTGAATTGACACTTGACAAGGCAGATGAGTTCAAGGCGCTTTGGAAAGAAGCAACGGAATCAGTAGAGAAACAAGATTATAATGGAGAGAATGGGGCACCTAGGTGTAACCAGAGGGTCTGGCCGGCTCACTACATTCAGAGGAAAGGCAAGACGGACATATAACCAGATTGTGACCGGTACCATCAGTATTGGAACTCTGCGCTGGCTGCTGAAGATGAGGACGGAGTACGCATGAGAATGCTTCGAGTGCTGTGATGTCAATTCTTGACTCAACTCAACTTAGCTCATACGTAGGTAGGTAGGTAGATTAGGTTAGTTGCCTATCCTTTACAGGATGTTGCACAACCAAACCCAACAGCCCCTGGCTGTGCGGTCTTTCTAGGCAAATTAACGTCGAGTAGTTTGCCATTACTTCTGGACTGTCGGCTTTCTTGATACCACTGTCGAAACCAATGCAAGGCGCATGGCCCAAGATTACGAAGTGTTCGCATCGACTTAGCCACAGAGCCGACGGGTAGATTAGACAGACAGATATTTAGATAGGCCAGGTAAAAGAAATATGTGTAGGTAGGTAGATAGGTGGGTAGGTAGATGTGTAGGTAGGTAGGTAGTTTAGACAGACAGGCAGATATTTAGATAGGCCTGGTAAAAGAAATATGTGCAGGTAGGTAGATAGGTGGGTAGGTAGATGTGTAGGTAGGTAGGTAGTTTAGACAGACAGGCAGATATTTAGATAGGCCTGTAAATAGATATATGTGCAGGTAGGTAGAAAGAAGGGCATATGAAGAAGTATACACTTACATTCATGCACTGTTTAGGAATGAGCTCACACTCCAACTCTGTCCGCATACCCGTGACCCCACGGGCACACGTCTGGTATTGATGTCGAGCCCAGGCCCTCATCTCGCAGTCCACATGCTCTAACCGGATGCTGTGCACACACAGAATAGAACAGTGTTTTATTTAAAAATATGTTTTTAAACTACTTTTACATTGGCACTCGCCGTGGTGTAGCGGCTAGACGCTCGGAGGGGATCGGCGGAGCTGGACTTTTCTTTCAAAAATGATCTTGACTCCCAGGTCGACCCAGACGTGAGTGGGTACCAGGTGCAGTCATGGGAAGTAAAGGCGGCCGGTGCGATGCTGACCACATCACCCACTAAGTGCCGATTGGTCTTTAAAAATATAGGTCTAGCCCTTTATGCCCTATACGACTAAAGGCGTGGAAAATAGACCTTTACTTTACTTACTGTTACTTTAATTTAGGACTACCCCTATCTTTCGAGATTTTGTAGAGAAATCCTATAACATCCCACAGTATAGGGGGTTATGGGTAGTAGTAGTCGCTATTCATTAAACACTAGCCCAGACTAACTCCCCTATAATATGGTAACGACCAGGGAGCTCCCTATGAATTCCCTATGAAATCTCGAAGCCAACGAGATGGGGTAGTCTAAACTTAAGGTACCCAGCTACTAAGTGTGTGCACACACAGTACGTAACATCTTTCTCAGGGCCGAATTAATTATTAAGCACACTAGGCACAAACGTAGGGCATCACAAAGGGAAGGGGACACCACAGAAAAATTTAGTAGCCTTGGAGCTGAGCGTTTGCTTTCTTGGTTGAAATATATTTGTTTTTAAATCCCATCAGAACAATAAAGTTAAAAGGAACCAAAATATTTTAAGTACTCAAGGGCATCAAAGGATCTTAATGCCCGTCTGACCGCTCTATATACATCAACTTGGTACGTGCGCACAAGAATTGCCAGTAACTAATTTTTCTCCCGTTTCCTCGGGGGTTTTTTTTTCCCCGTCGCCCAAATTGTGTTCCTAGGCAGTCAGTTTTAGTATGTTGGTTATGTAATTCCCCCCCCCCCCCCCCAAGACCATATCTTACAGAAATATATTTTCTATTTTGGCTACCAGACGTGGTCTCTCCACAAATATAGCGTACACAAAGCAGGATCTCCGTAGCTCCAGCGACGATTACTAGAAAAACGGATGAGCGCAATTAGTAGATAATGGAAGACTTTAAGAGTTGGAAGTAAATGGCTTCAAAATCATTGCTACTGACTCCACATCATTCTAGTGTGCACAGGCATAGTTCTTCTTCTTCTTCTTCTTTTTCTTCTTCTTTTTCTTCTTCTTCTTCTTCTTCTTCTTCTTCTTCTTCTTCTTCTTCTTCTTCTTCTTCTTCTTCTTCTTCTTTTTCTTCTTCTTCTTTTTCTTCTTCTTCTTTCTTCTTCTTCTTCTTCTTCTTCTTCTTCTTCTTCTTCTTCTTTTTCTTCTTCTTCTTCTTCTTCTTCTTCTTCTTCTTCTTCTTCTTCTTCTTCTTCTTCTTCTTCTTCTTCTTCTTCTTCTTCTTCTTCTTCTTCTTCTTCTTCTTCTTCTTCTTCTTCTTCTTCTTCTGCTGCGGCTGCTGCGTGCAGTTAGAGGGTGGTTGACGCGTTGGGCTGTGGTTTACAGCTACACTGCAATGTCAGCACGTTTCGACCAAATACATAACATTTAATCCAACTCGTAATTATATATCTTTTACGACATGCTTGCAAGGCAGCAATGATAGCTAGTGGTAGCTTTTACATTATTTTATCACGCCATCCCCCCAACATCGGCCACACAGCCCGAACGGGGGTGGGGGTGGGGGGAGGGGGGGTGGGGGGGGGGGGTTGTAAAAATGATGTAAAATCGGCCACTAGCTTGCACCATGTGAATCGAAATCCTCGTTATGAACTGTTCTGTGTCAAACAGCGCGCAAACACGCACACTCACTGAGCACATCAAAAGGCTGTGTGAAGTGCTCGCGTCTGTTTGTTATGACCTTCAATTTGCGCTGTTGTTTTCGCTCAGTGACTTGCACAAAAACACAATCATTATCATCATATGCTTTGCCGAATGGCGTGGGCGATTAGCCACTCCACAATCTGTGATCTTTAACAACAAATGGAATGTGGTCTCGAGGCATGGTGTCCGCCTCAAGTGCTAGAGGCTCTGGGTTCAATCCCCGGGAAGGGCTGGAATTTTTTTCATGTGGACTTGGACTTCAGGGTCTCAGGGTAGTGGGATCGGACGCCCATGTGCGCACGTAAACAATCCCTTTGCAGTTGGAAATCGAAAAGAGTAGCCTAACGGCGCTGCCCGGACAAATTCTGGAGTTAAAAATCTAACCAAAGTATTAAAGGATCCTCGCCGGTGCTACAGAGCCTGTGCACTGTGCTGAGCTTCTTCAGAATCAGGCTTGAGTTAGAGGAAGAACAGAACACTTATGGGTTACTGCGTGTGTGCCATTGTTCAAACTTCAAACCTCAACATCATGTATTAGTTTGTGTGCTGACACTCGTTCATACCATGACAAAATGCTGCAGTCAAGAATCTTCTTACGCTGTTTTCTCGGTCTCTTTAACCACAGCTCTTTCCAGTCGTCACAACCTGGTCCTGTTTCCGTCTTCTCATAATATAAAGGGTTTACTTATCTGCTTCTTGCCATAATTTTTTTTTTTTTTTTTAGAAAACAGCAAATTCGCCCCAAGGATAAAAATGGGTACTTAACTATTCATTTTATAATTAATGCGTGCATCTGAATGTCGACAGACAGACAGACAGACAGACAGACACAGGCTGGTAGGCAGGCAGACAGATGCTAATGGTTGGATACAAGGACGAGCAGACAGACTGGCAGACATGCAGACAGACATACAATTATAGAGACAGAAAGGCCGGCAGAGACAGACTGGCAGACGGACAGAAAGGACCGAAACTCACTTGCAGAACTGAAGAAGTGAAAGGTGGTCTGCTGTCGGCTGTGGCGCCACCATCAGCAATCCTTGCATGTTGCTATCCAGGCTCTGGAAACACATCCGGACTTCCGGGACGGGATTCCGGAAACACTGAAGTCCTGAGAGGTATACTGGGGAAAGAAGATCGTAAATAATAAACAATTATTTTTGTAACTCATTTAATTCAACTCCCTTTAATCTCCGTTAGGGTTTCGAGGCCCTGCTATGGAGAGGGGGTATAGACAAGAATAGACTCACTACCTCCCAATAAGCATGTCGTAAGAGTCGACTAATTAGGAGCGTTTCCTTTGAGGTTGGAGTGCATCTGCATGAGAGGAAAGGAGCCAACAATCTGCATATAAATAAGTAAGATTTATAAAATTAATGTGCACGCAACCCTCAGCTACGGGACAAGACTAAAGAAGCAGAGGAAAAAGAAAAAGAAGAAGATAAAGAAGAAGAAGAAGAAGAAGAAGAAGAAGAAGAAGAAGAAGAAGAAGAAGAAGAAGAAGAAGAAGAAGAAGAAGAAGAAGAAGAAGAAGAAGAAGAAGAAGAAGAAGAAGAAGAAGAAGAAGAAGAAGAAGAAGAAAAAAAGAAGAAGAAGAACTCGCAATACGTTTCTGTGTATTTACAGAGCATAATATACCCAGTGTACCTTTGACATGAAGAGAGTTTATTTTTTTACATTTCTGGATGCTATATTGAATTCTGTTATCGTCACCACCATCATCATCATCTAGCAGGTCCTTTGCAGAACTTCACTCTCATCACGGTCTGCCTGAAAGAAACTCGTTCTCTCGCCGCGAGCACTTTTATATTCAAGGAGTCACTTATATCATGGCGGTAAATATGACCATCATATTTCAGCTTCAGGCACAAAATGCTGTTTACCGGCCAACCTTCCTTCATGTTCATATTCTTAAGGGTGTCAGTATTTCTTTTATTCTTTGTCCGCGGTATTTTGAGGATCTTAATATAATATTTCATCTTAAATTATTGCGAAACAGTTCAAGACTCACTTCCGCCTGTTCCTACAGGGAAATTGCATGCTCTAAAAATTAGTTAGTTAGTCTTTCCTCTTGTGTCAAGTGCGGCACATAGGGCAGAGGTCATGACTCTCCATGCATGGCGGTTCGTTGTAATCTGTTGTAGGTCTTGGATGTTTGAGTGGCCCATGAGTGAGCCTTCCCTGATGATAGTTCTACGTAAGGTTTCCCTTGGTCTTCCACGAGATCTTTTTTCCTGTGGTGTCCAAATGAGGGCTCTAAAAATGCCGACGTTGATTTCCTTTCTGCATGCTATATGACATTTTTATTGACACAAAATGTTGTACCCACAATCTTTCTATTATTATCGTTTTTGGCTCGACATAGCGTGGTTCGGTTTGCGGCTTTTCTTGAGTGTCTCCTCTCACATTTATAGATTTGTTAATCAACTCAAAAGGTAATCACAATATTTTTGGCACAAAGCAGGAATGAATGAATGAATGAATGAATGAATGAATGAATGAATGAACGAATGAATGAATGAATGAATGAATGAATGAATGAATGAATGAATGAATGAATGAATGAATGAATGAATGAATGAATAAATGAATGAATGAATGAATGAATGAAGTTCAACAGCACCAGGATCTTACAAGGAGCCATAAACAACCGGCGACACAAAGTGTCACCATTCGGATAAGAATCGCCCGGTACAAGTCCCAGAAACCTTGTTCAACCGTTTGATTATATTAGCTCCCTTATAAGGACTGCGCTAAAAAAAATGTTTTGCTCTTAGTCACCTTCTTGTGAGATGCAATTTTTTTTTGTTATTTTAAGCCCTACTCTGGCTGTTGCCAGGGGCCGCAATATAGCCTGACCATAAATATGGCCTAAAGGCTGAACGCGGTTTCTGGGACCTCTCCACGGGTGATCCTCATCCACATGGTAGCACTTTGTGTCATCGGGTGTTTATCGCTTGTGTCATGTCCTGGTGGGGTACAAATCTATTAATATTACTATCGAAATAGCGGGTTTGGTTAGTGGCTTTTCTTGAGTCTCTCGTGTCACATTTATATATTTGTTAATCAACTCAAAGGGTAATCGCAATATTTTTGGAACAAAGCAGGAATGAATGAATGAATGAATGAATGAATGAATGAATGAATGAATGAAGTTTAACACCACCAGGACCACACAACGAGCGATAAACACCTGGTGACACAAAGTGCCACCATTCGGATGAAAATCCCCGGACGCAAGTCCTAGAAACCCCGTTCAACCGTAGGTTATATTAGGGCCCACGACAACAGATGGAGTGAGGCTTTAAAATAACGGAATTTTTTTATTATTTTAAAGCCCACCTTGGTTTTTGCCAGGGGCCGCAATATAGCCCGACCATAAATATGGTCAAATGGCTGAACGCGGTTTGCGGGACCTCTCCACGGATGATCCTCATCCACTTAGTGGCACTTTGTGTCATCGGGTGTTTATCGCTTGTGTTATGTCCTTGTGTCGGCTCTTTGGCTAGGTCGATGAGAACGCTTCGTAATGCCGGGATGCCGGGTTCGATCCCAGGTGCAGGCTATGTGCCTTGCGTTGGTTTCAAAGTAGTATCAAGAAAGCCGACCGTCCAGAGGCAATGGCAAACTACTGGGTGTAAATTTTCCTAGAAAATAAAAAACCCACACAACAACCAGGGGCTGTTGGGGTTGGTTCTGCAGCGTTCTGTAAAGGATACGCAACTATGTCCTTGTGTGGTAGAATCTTCTACTACAACAGAACAAAGCAGAATGGAGATTACAGACCAGAGAGTGACAGCATAAACAAACTCAACAAGAAAGAACAAACATCAATTTGTAGACTTCGGACTGGACACTGTGGTCTTCGAGCACACCTGTACAGGATAGGCATAAAAGATTCTGCTGCCTGTGATTGTGGAGCAGAAAGACAGACCCCTGAGCACATACTGCAGTACTGCCCTTACCTCTCCCAGCAAAGACTGTGGATCTGTCCGAAGGGAGCCACATTGAAAGAGAAGCTATTGAAGACCGGTGGCGACCTTAAACGCACAATCCTATTTTTGACTCAGACGGGACTCGATATGTAGTATGAGTGATGTCGAACGCAGAAGAAAAAGAAGAAGAACAAAGCAGGAACGACAACTTAAGAATTATATTGAATACAATCTCTGTTAAATGACTTACCTCCCTGGTTTCTACATAAAACTTCAGTGCCGCTCTCAAAGGACCCCAGTTCAATCCCCAACTCTGCAAGCACTCTGGCTGAATCCGGACACGCCAAGGCCTTCTGTCTGATACACTGGGCCAATGCGTCGCGGTTCCTAGCATGCAGATGAGGAATAGTTACTGCAAAATTACAAAACAGGCACCTAGATGGGAAACAAACGGTCTAAGAAAATTAGATACAGTTAGTCGTCCCTAAGTGGGATGCAATTTTTTGTTATCTGAAGTCTCATCCTGGCTTTTACCGGGGGTCCTGAATGTAGCCGGATCATAAATATGGCCATAACGGCTGAAAGGGGTTTCTTGTGTCACCGGGTGTTTATCGCTTGTGTGATGTCCTGGTAGGGTACAACGAGAGAGAGAGAGAGAGAGAGAGAGAGAGAGAGAGAGAGAGAGAGAGAGGAGAGAGAGAGAGAGAGAGAGAGAGAGAGAGAGAGAGAGAGAGAGAGAGAGAGAGAGAGAGAGAGAGAGTCTCAGAAAAAGAGGACGTTCAATGGAAACATAAGAAGAACATTATTGCAAGAGACTAGAAAATGCTGGACTTAACTCCATGTTAGACATTGAGAGAGTTACATGCAGCAGAGCGGGTGGTGGAATCAAATGTTAACCCTTTGTGACGTCTAACGGCACGCGAAGGATGATGATGATCATGATGAATGTAAAGAAAAGGACTTTTTCCATGCATGAATGAATGAATCAAGAACTGACAACACCGCATTCGCGACATTTTCACATGTGCTCCGTCCTCTTCTTCAGTAGCCAATGAAGAGTGGACATAAGTGCTGGATTTAGACATAAACTATTTAAGCTGCAGCTTCAGGCATCACAATCTGCTGGCGCCTCAACACATCCCTTTTTTGTTTTTATAAATGCAGTTTTCTTTTAATAAAACTTTTAAGATTATTGTGTAACATAATTTCAGCTAAACGTTTAAGAGGACACATGAATCGACAACATTTAAGACACTCTTCGCCTTCATAGCAAACAATAGCCAGTGGCAGCCAGCGTGGGCTGGATCGCAAATTATTCCTCCCAAGGACGCTTGACGGCAGAAGTTGTTTATGATGATGATGATGACAATACTTTCTGTTAGTCTACAGGCACATTTTTATTATTTATTTCACTAAAAATTAAACGACAATATATTTCCATCATCACTATTTTTAAAAGGTGTATATATATATATATATATATATATGAATAAATGAGAGCCAGATTACGGAAATAAATAAGTAAATAAGTAAATAAAAATCACGAAAAAAAAAGATAGCAAGAAAGTAAAATAAAAGGAAGAAAGAAAGAAAGAAAGAAAGAAAGAAAGAAAGAAAGAAAGAAAGAAAGAAAGAAAGAAAGAAAGAAAGAAAGAAAGAAAGAAAGAAAGAAAGAAAGAAAGAAAGAAAGAAAGAAAGAAAGAAAGAAAGAAAGAAAGAAAGAAAGAAAGAAAGAAAGAAAGAAAGAAAGAAAGAAAGAAAGAAAGAAAGAAAGAAGAAAGAAAGAAAGAAAGAAAGAAAGAAAGAAAGAAAGAAAGAAAGAAAGAAAGAAAGAAAGAAAGAAAGAAAGATTAAAAGAAAGAAAGAAAGATTAAAAGAAAGAAAGAAAGAAAGAAAGAAAGAAAGAAAGACAGACAGACAGACAGACAGACAGACAGACAGACAGACAGACAGACAGACAGACAGACAGACAGACAGACAGACAGACAGACAGACAGACAGACAGACAGACAGACAGACAGACAGACAGACAGACAGACAGACAGACAGACAGACAGACAGACAGACAGACAGAAAGAAAGAAAGAAAGAAAGAAAGAAAGAAAGAAAGAAAGAAAGAAAGAAAGAAAGAAAGAAAGAAAGAAAGAAAGAAAGAAAGAAAGCAAGAAAGAAAGAAACAAAGAAAGAAAGAAAGAAAGAAAGAAAGAAAGAAAGAAAGAAAGAAAGAAAGAAAGAAAGAAAGAAAGAAAGAAAGAAAGAAAGAAAGAAAGAAAGAAAGAAAGAAAGAAAGAAAGAAAGAAAGAAAGAAAGAAAGGTACTCACAAACAAAACTGATGGACCTGGTCGCCAGTGTCACCGATGGCCGCTGTCCGAGCCAGGGCTATGTCCGACAGTTGGCTAGGGCTCAAATTGACGTAGTTGAAACACTGGCGAATCTCTTTCTCCAGCTGATACCGACATGCTAGGATAAATCATCCAGGGTATACAATTTAAAAAAGACACCGTTGGAAATTATCATAAGCATCGAGTGCCGTGCCAGTAAGCGTAGGCTGTCGTGTTTCGCCATCCCACACGATAACCAGGATCACGGATCAGTTCAATGTTTTTTGTCTCACCCCATCCATCTGACCAAGCCATCGTGGTTATAACAATTTCTTGGAATATACCGAAGACAACTTATCACAGACAGCAGAAAGAGACAGTCATCATTTTTCGGCCATGTTATGAGAAGAGGAAAAATAGAACATGTTGTGACCACTGGAAAGATATGTGGAAGGAGAGATAGAGAAAGACAACGAGAGAAGATGCTTGACAGTCTTGTTGCATGGCATGGAGGTGTGTCGGCACACGAACTGATACATGCAGCAGGAGATCGCAGATTACGGAGAGGCATGATCGCCCACGCCAGTCGGCAAGGCACCTGATAATGATGACGATACTGCAATGGTTAAGATTTGCTTGCTACTGAAAAGGCTGAGACCAATCCACTGACATTCAGGTTGTCTGAACTATGCAAAGGTCTTACTTATACTGCAATGAGACTTCAGCTGAGTTGAGTCAAGATTTCACACACATCACAGCACTCGGTGCATTCCCATGCGTGCTCCGTCCTCATCTTAAGCAGCCAGCGCAGAGTTCAAATACTGATGGTACCGGTCACAATCACAAGTCCGTCTTGCCTTTGCTCTGAGTGTAATGAGCCGGCCAGACCCTCTGGTTACATCCAGGTGCCTCATTTTCTCCAGGCCATAATAATCTTCTTTCTCTACTGATTCCGTTGCTTGTTCCCAAAGGGCCTTGACCACATCTGCCTTTTCATGTATCAATTCACCACCCAGTCTGTCTGTTAATTGCCCACTACGACAGGCTTGCCTAGAGGAAAAATACAAAAGTATGCTCACTGCCCGTAACCTTCCCAGTGAAGCTTGCCACTCTGCTCGAAGCATTCCTGTCTTCACCTTTCTCAGCATGCTTTCAGTCTGTTACAATTACGACATGTGTATGCATCTTGTTCTCTAGCCACTGGAGAGCTGCAGATACCGCCTCCACCTTCATTCTCATGCTAGATGTTGTGGTGTCGTATGCCAGGCTGTCTTGCACTAAAGATGTTCCATTGGCTTTCATTACGAAAGTACTGCAATGAGACTGGTGTAGAAACGATTCTTCTAATCTGGCACCATAGTACATCTCTTGAGGTCAAGTTTCTCTTCGTAGGTTAAGTATAATGTATGACAAACTAGATTTGAACAAAGAAGACACAAACAATAGATTGCACAATTTATTGCCCGGGATATTTCGCTGTACAGTAGAACCTGGCTCAACGAGCACCTCTCATAACGAGTAATTCGCATAATGAGCAAAACAAATTGTAAAAAAATGACTTGCTTAACGAGCGACGTTAGGCATAACAATTGGCGAGGAGAGGGGAAGTCTCGCATTGTGCGCATGTTTCATCAGTCTTTGTTTAGCTCTCGTTCCAGTAGCATCGTAGTGTCGCTTGTGATCACGCATTTTCTCAAACTTGTGTTATATTGTGATATATGTACGTCAATCCTCCAGGCCTACAAGATGACTTCTCTGAAGAATTTAAGTTCATCAAGATCCAATTTCTGCCTCCCAACACCACTCCGTTACTCCAGCCCATAGACCAGCGAGTTATTTCTAACTTTAAGAAGCTCTACACTAAAGCACTCTTGGAGCATTGTTTTTAGGCGACTGAAGGGACCAGCCTCACTCTCAAAGAGTTTTGGAAAAACCACTTCCACATCGTTTCCTACCTCAAGATGATCGAAAAGGCGGGAGAATGGGTTACCAGGAGAGCCCCAACTTCTACTTGGAAGAAGCTTTGGCCAGGGAGTGTTGTCGATTTGTGACTTTGAGGGGTTCGAGACACTACCTGTGGAACCTGTAGTCAACGAGATTGTGTCTTTGGCCACTGTCATGGGATTGTAGGTGGATAACAGTGATATCGAAGAGCTTGTGGAAGAGCACAGCCAAGAGCGGTCTTCCCAAGAGTTTATGGAGTCGCATTGTGTTTCACAGCAAGAAGTTTTGGAAATAAGTTTGTCAGAGGAGGAGGAGGTAACAGAAAAGCAACGATCTTTTGGCAAAAAAAGAGAAAGGCTGAAATCATGGCAAACTGTTGCATCTTACATTGAGAAGCATCGCCCTAATAAAGAAGTGGCTATGCGCGTTTCAAATTTATTTAATGATAATGCTGTGTCGCATTTGCGCCAAATTTTGAAGCGTTGGCAAAAACAAATGTCTTTGGACATCTTTCTAGTTGAAAAAAAAGTAGCTATGTATCATAATTATTTCGACTTTTTTTTTCTGCAAATCGAATTCGCATTCCAGGTGGGTTTGCTCCGCGTTTGAAGAAAAGATGAAAATGATTCCCTCTCCTTAACAATACGTATATAATTGTCTTTGAATGAAGGTTATACGTAGCATTTTGTGAGTATTTTTTTTTTCGACATGGAACGCCTTATCGTATTTTACATTAATTTATATGAGAATGTTTTTTCCGCATAACGAGTGTTTCGCTCAACGAGTATGATTCTGGAACGAATTACGCTCGTTAAGCGAGGTACCGCTGTATCTCGCCAGGTGCATACTACAGTAAAAATTACATAAATGAAGCAAAAAAAGTAAATCCTTTTTAACTGAAATAGAATTTCAACAACGATCAAAACATGGCTGCCTGTTTTTACCAGGGCAGTCCTAAAGTCAGAACCATCTCTGACAGATATCATAAAGATATGATGACGAATATAATGATGACAACGACGATGATAATGATGATGATGACGCTGATGATGATGATGATAATGATGATGATGCTGATGGTGACGATGATGTTGATGCCGATGGCGATGATGATAAACAATCAAGCACTCACAATGTGAGCAGGAGTCGTAAAAGGCGCCAAACAGCGCATGGCTCTGGGAAACTATCGTCTGCCTGTCGACCTGGGTCACACAGATAGTCGAGTTGTAAAGTCTTTGGGTCAGTGCCTGGCCACATGTGTCCACCTGTGGCCGGAGACTGAAACAACATCAATGAATGTCAAATCGGCTTTTAAAGTCTAGAAACAAAACTTTCAAATCCTAGGGGCCCATTTATTTGGTGGGCATGAAATGAGTTGGGTAGGCCCCCCGATAATTGATCCGTTTCTTCAGAAAAAGGAGATGAAAAAGGAGGAATATTAGTAGGAAGGTATTAACTCTACGGAAGTTAGTAGACTTTTCCCCCTAGATCAGTGTTTCCGAAACTTTTCTTGCTCGTGGCGCGTTTTTTGAATTAAAACTGTTCCACAGTGCCCTGAGCTAAGTAAAAGTATGACTATTCATGTCTTGGTTAAATTAATTATGAAGCTTTTACAATATTTCAATATTTACTCTGTGATGAAGTCGCGGCTCCCCGGGGCGCCGCGGCGCACAGTTTTAAAACCACTGCCCTAGATAAAAGGCGTGGGTTTTTACTAGAATTTTTTTTTTTAATATATACTGGTGCTCCATGAAGTTTGGAACAACGGGCCAACTTCATGGCACACAGGTAGTTACGTATAAGTGCTCCTTTCTTTCTTCTAACCCAAGTCTGAGTCGGAAGAAGCTCAGCAAAGTGCACAGGCTACGCTTTACGATTTCCAACTGCCAAAGGATTTTGTACGTGCGCAACAATGCACACAAGCATCCGATCTCATTACCCAGAGACCAGGTGCATAGAGGCGGATACCATGCCACGAGAGAAAGCAGACCCCAGGTGCTCCATAAAAAAGGCCTATTACAGTAGTGCCGAAGCAAGATCACATCCATCTCATTGTAGGATGAAATTTTTCATTATTTGAAGCCCCATCCTGGCTCTTGCCAGGGGCCGCAATATAGCCCGGCTATATATATATATGGTCTAATGGCTGAACGCGGTTTCCGGGACCTCTCCACGGGTGATCCTCATCCACATGGTGGCACTTTGTGTCATCGGGTGTTTATCGCTTGTGTGATGTCCTAGTGGGGTATAATGTGCTACTACTACTACTAGTGCCGTTAAAGTGACGCCTTGAAAAATACTCCGGGGCTGTGTATCGTTAAACAGCCCCCCCCCCCACCCCCTTCCCCCTTCCAATCTCCCCCCCCCCCCCACCACCCCCCCCCCCCTTTCCAAGCTCAGGAAGTAATCATTATTTAAGACCAGTGGCTTCCAACCTTTTTCGGTGCGACCTCCTTCCACCTTTTTTTTTTTTTTAGTATATGGCAAGACCTAACTGTTCTTCCACGCGACCCTCGTAACACAATGTAATGTCATCAACAACGTTGAGAAAAACATCAAGATAATTAGGCTTTTAGCTATAGAAGTACAAACTGTTCAAGAAACTTTACTCCAAGCTATGCCGGCGTGGTGGATAACGAACAGGCAGACAGATTGGCTGGATCTGCACCACTGGGTGGTGAATTGATACACTACAAGGTAGATGTGGTCAAGGCCCTTTGGAAACAAGCAACGGAATCAGTAGAGATAGGAGGTTATTATGGCCTGGAGAGAATGAGGCCCCTGGGTGTAAACAGAGGGTCTGGCCGGCTCACTACACTCAGAGGAAAGGCAAGACGGACATATAACCAGATTGTGACCGGTACCATCAACCCATCTCAAACTGCCAAATGTCCTTGGCTTTTTTTTTTTTTTTTTTTTTTAAATATTTATTAATAATTAAACTGAAAATAAAATGTGTTAGTATAAGTGACTTTAAAAAGTACAAAAGCAATTTCACACTAGCTTAACGCTCCTCATGATCTGTCACTGAGACCTCCCCAGGCAAGCTCTTCCCATGTTGGGGGACCACTATTTTAGACAATTCAACCTGAGAAATCCATAGTTCATTGTTCATGTTAGAGGTCATCGTCATCGCACATCGGATATGACCATAAGTGCTCCGATCTCCTCCTGAGTATGTCTCCAAGTGTTTTTAATCTGATAACTCCCATTCTGTTCTGGTTGATGTATTGACGGGTGGCTCCCGTATGGTTGTCCTGTCTCGTTGCTTAAAAAAATAAATCTAACAAAGATACAATAAAACCAATAAAGTTTTAGGCCACAAGGCACCAATTTTAAAATACAAGTGATTATGAACATTGTTCAACATAATTTTCTTACCAATGCTATCCTATCAACGTCACACATGGACACTGTCTTTAGAAGACAGAAGGAAAATAGTCACGATAGAAAAGAAATGTTTACGCGCTATGCTAGGTGTAACGAGGAAAGATCGACTTTTGAAAGATCATATCAGGGGTAGAGTCGACACAAAACCAATACTGAACTTTATAAGTAGAGAACAAATCATATGGTGTGGCCATGTAACAAGATTGACATCAGACAGGGCACCACAGAGAGCAATATTATACAGATACAGCTGTGACAGAGCCAGAGGTCGACCACGCAGAAAATGGACCGCAGAAATATCTAAGACACTGAAAAGTACTTTATACGAAGCGAAAAGAAGGGCCCGTTCAAGGAATCTCTTCCAGGAGATGAGGAAAGAAGAAGAAGAACTTGAGAAAGACAAGAGACTAAATGCGGAGCTGAGAGATGGGTAGCCGGAGAGAATCTCACTCACACACAAGCTCTAGCCTTGAACGCGGCAATTCCTTCAGTTGGCGCCGATCCTTCTGTGCCGTTTGTGGTAAAATATCTCAGGTTGTTGAAGCTCAGACTGGCGTTTTGGGCGCAGGCCGTCGCTGACCTCTGCCAGGCTTGTTGGCACATCGTCTGCGTCTGACCGTTGGTCACGGCAGTAAATGTCATGAGACTCATAGTGACTAGAGCTGAAAGGGAACAGGAATCATTTAGTACAACAACATCATCATCATCATCATGCATTTTTGCTTCCCCCGGGATCCAATTTTTTTTATTTAAAAAAAAAACATTTCTTCATAACAAGCCGCTGACGCTCTGAAATTACCTGTGTTTCTATTTAGAGAGTTTGTTGTGACATTGTGAGCTGTGGATATTATGTCAGATGTTTTTTCGTTATCTTTCTGTTATGCGGTGTTGTTGGCTGCATTAAAATGGCGGGTGGCCGATTACGTATACATTGGTTTTTGTTTGCATAATTTTTAGCGTGGGACCGTTAGTGCTGGTACATCAGACAGCTGCGTTATGCAATTGTTACTTTGCATGTGCAAGCTTCAACATTTTGCTAGGACTGACCATTTTTTCACCAGTTTTTAAATGGTACAGTGAAGAATATTTAGTGTGATTTTTCACTGGCAAGAAACAGGGCAGTCTGGGGCAACCCGTCTGCATTAATGCTGGAACACCGACTGAGGATTAACGATGTCGACGACTGTCCGATTGCATGTTTGCATAGTTCACACGCCCGTCTCTCTAGTGTAGTTGGCTAAACCGGATTGCGCGGTGAGAGGGTGACGAACTCCTTGTGGTCCGGGTTCACTCCCGGGGGTAGGCAGGAAAGCCACATTTTCTCCCAGATTTACGGTATTCACAATAGAATCAAGGCCGAAAGGTTGCGATATCCATAATACCGAGCCTAAGGGTTAACAACTCATGCCTTCTGGATACTAAAACAAACAAACAGCATAGTTCACACTTCTGTTTATTTATTTCTGGGGCTATGTTCCAGCTTTAAGTACTAATATTTTTGCAAACATCTTTCCATTATAGCTCAGAATTTAGATGCCTCTGTATGTTTCACAGTCTCTCTTTTGTACCCTTTATTTTTCTAAATGGGGACAATGATTGCTCCCTGCCAGTCACCTGGAACTTTCCCTACATCCCAAACCATGTTAAAAGATTCTGATCAACCAAACTGTTGCTGTTGTCTTACATGCAAGGAGGATTTCTGTTGTAATACCATATATTCCCCCTGTCTTGTTCTTTTTATTCTGTTTGAGGGCATTTTCAACTTCGAATTCCAGTATCTTTGGTTCATAGTCTTTTGCAAATTTATTTCCGTTTGGTACTTCATCCGGTGTTCCACAGTTTAGCAGCTCACTGAAATTTTCCTTCCATCTGTCTTTAATATCTTGACTGCTGATGAGCGGTTTCTTACTCTAGCTGTTAATAACAGTGGAGGGTTTAAACTTGTCTTCTCTCAGTCTCATTGCTTTGACACTTTTGTAAAACTTTCTTGGTGACTCAGTGCAAAGTTTTGCTCCCTGTTCTCCATAGTCGGTCCAAGATTCTGATTTTGCCGCTTTCACTTTCCTTTTGCTGTCTCTTCTCGCTTTTCTAAAGCTGATGTAGTCTTCATACGATTATGTTTTCTGCCATGTATAAAAGCATTTGTCTTTTCTTGGATAGACATTTTAACATCTTCATGTCACCACATTGTATGTTTTCTATGAGTGCCCGGGTTTTTGAGACCGCAATTCTCTTTCACTGTGTTGAGGATGCTGGTTTTAAAAGTCTACCACTCATCTTCTACTTTGTTTGTTTTTGTAAGAGTGGTGAAAGAGATTCTGACTGCTCTATTTCCTCCACAACTTTATCTTTTAGTTTCACAATGGTTATTAACTCTGCTTGTTAAATTGGTTTCTTGGGGTGTGTTCTAGCTGGTTTATGAAGCAAAAGTACCACTGGTCTACGGTTTGAATCTATTAGTGCATTTGGGATAGCCCTGAAATTCTTTATTGTCCATCTCTCTCTCCTTCGTCAGCGTATCGAAGGTTGTTAACTATATACCCACCAACGGATATTCCTGGTATACAATGTATGAATCTGATTTTATTTCTATTTACAAAATGAATAAATGGGCGATAGTACACATCCTTGTCTAACACCATGTTTAATATTTTTAAAAGTTCCAAGTTTGTTGTCCGTCCTTATGGTAGTTTTTGTCGGTAGTGTATGTTTTTTTTTTTTTTTAAATCTTTTCTATCAATATTTAAGTTTTCCAAAATTCTAATAATTTCTTCATGTTTCCCTTTATCGAATGCATTTGTGTAAATGCAAAAGCACAAATAGTAATCATAATCTACTCACAAACAAATAGCAAGGTATCCATTCCTGATTTTTAAAAACCACGCACAAGGTACCGGCGTTGACATCAACAAAACCAAATTAAAATTCCCTTTTCTTTTTATGTGGCCCCGGCTGGCAAGTCTGGCGTGAAAAATGACGTAAGTAGAATCACAAATTCATTGGTGTCAAGTGTAGACAGATTTAACTCTTTCCCGTGTGAGGTGATTGATATGATTTCTACCCATCTGACGAAATTAAGACTTCTGACATATGGATATTTCAATTTTCGGTGACAAAAGAAAGATCGATAATTCCAGTGTGGATTTATTCTGAAAAGCGTTAGAAGAAGAAGCAGTGACAAAGGAAGAAGAAGGCTAGGAGGAGTATGAATGAGGAAGAAGCTGAAGAAGAAGAAAAAGAACAAGAAGAAAACTACTAGATATTAATAATTATAGTAGTATTAGAAGTAGTATTAGTAGTAGTATTCGTAGTAGTAGTAGTAGCAGTAGTAGTAGTAGTAGTAGTAATATTAGTAGTAGTAGTAGTAGTAGTACTAGTAGTAGTAGTAGTAGTAGTAGTAGTAGTAGTAGTAGTAGTAGTAGTAGTAGTAGTAGTAGTAGTAGTAGTAGTAGTAGTAGTAGTAGCAGCAGCAGCAGCAGCAATGGTAGCAGTAGTAGTATTAGTAGTAGTAGTAGTAGTAGTAGTAGTAGTAGTAGTAGTAGTAGTAGTAGTAGTAGTAGTAGTAGTAGCAGCAGCAGCAGCAGTAGCAGTAGTAGCAGCAGGAGCAGCAACAGCGGCAGCAGTAGTAGAGTAGGAGCAGAAGCAGCAGCAGTAGCAGTAGCAGCAGCAGCAGCAACATCAGCAGCAGTAGTAGTAGTATTAGCAGCAGTAGTACTAGTAGTAGTAGTAGTAGTAGTAGTAGTAGTAGTAGTAGTAGTAGTAGTAGCAGCAGCAGTAGTAGCAATGGCAGCAGCAGTAGTAATAGCAGCAGTAGTAGCAGCAGCAGCCCTTGTAGTAGTAGTAGTAGTAGTAGTAGTAGTAGTAGTAGTAGTAGTAGTAGTAGTAGTAGTAGTAGTTGTTGTTGTTGTTGTTGTTGTTGTTGTTGTTGTAGTAGTAGTAGTAGTAGCAGCAGCAGCAGCAGCAGCAGTAGCAGTAGTAGCAGCAGCAGCAGTAGTAGTAGTAGTAGTAGTAGTAGTAGTAGTAGTAGTAGTAGTAGCAGCAGCAGCAGCAGCAGCAGTAGCAGTAGTAGCAGCAGCAGCAGTAGTAGCAGTAGTAGTAGGAACAGAAGCAGCAGCAGTATCAGTAGAGTGGAAAGAGTAATGGGGACGTTGATGGTGGATGTGGTAGAAAAAGAAACAGAAGGAGGAGGAGGCGAAAACTAAACAAGCTTAGTGAGTTAAAAGGTGAGCAAAAAGACGCTGGCGCTGGATAGGATACAAGTTGAGAAACAGGTTATTGTATAACTAGAAAACCATTTCTTATAATCCCACATGGTCAAAGACATAGGGGATGCCTAAAATACAATCAGAAGAGAAATACACAAAGAGACAGATACTATGAAAATGGAGTGGAGAGCTTTTCAATGTGTAAGTAGTGGTTAGAATTTAGAGGCAGAAATGAGGTGGTCATAATGCTACTACAATATTGATGTTGCTGCTAATACTACTACTATTCGGGTTTTTGCTGCTGCAACTGCGTTGCTGTTGTTGCTATTGTTACCAACATTTTTACTACTACTACTGCTATCACTACTACTACTGATACTACCACTGCCACCAATATTGCGCCATAATTATACCACCACTACTACTTCTACTACTACTACTACTACTACTACTACTACTACTACTACTACTACTACTACTACTACTACTACTACTACTACTACTACTACTACTACTACTACTATTTATACACTACTACTATCACTACTACTACTACTACTTCAACTACTACTACTACTACTACTACTACTACTACTACTACTACTACTACTACTACTACTACTACTACTACTACTACTACTACTACTACTACTACTACTACTACTACTACTACTACTACTTTTACTACTACTACTACAGCTTCTACTACTACTACTACAACTACTACCATTTTTACCACTACTACTACAACCACCACCACTCCCACTATTACTACTTCTTTTTTTCAACAAGTACTACTACTACTACTACCACAGCCCCCACCAATACCACTACGGCTACTACTACTGATGCTAGTAATGCTAGTGCTACTAATACAAAAAACACACGGTCGGCTTTAGACTTCCTGGAACCCGGCAGAGAAACAATCAAATTTCTCCATGAGTTGTTGACCCTTTGGCTCGGTACTGTGGATATCGCAACCCTTCGTCCTTGATTCCATGATAAATAACGTAAATCTGGGAGAAATGTGGCTTTTCTGCCAAACACCAGGCGTGAACCCAGACCACAAAGAGTTCGTCACCCGGTCGCCGCGCAGTCAGGTTTAGCCAACTGAGCTAGCGAGCCAGGATTAACATTCACATCACTTCTCTTATCACTCACCCCCCCCCCCCTTTCCCCCACCCGTTCTCTTCTGTCTTCCCCCCCCCCCCCTCCCGTATCTCCCTTTCTCTCCCCCTCTGTCTATCGTCTAAGTTTAAACTACAATTTCGCTGGCTATCGGTCGGTTTCAAATCTGAGACTTTGATGAATCGCCTTCATTAGCTCCTCCGACACTGAGACCGGTCAATGACAAAACATCGGGCCCAGCTCGTCTGTTTTACGAGACCCGCCCCTGATCAGATGACGGGGCTGCCCACTTCATGGCCAGGTCCCAGGCTGTTTTTGTGGCCAAAATGCGCCCTGGTTCGGTTTAGGTTGATATGATACGGGTCAAAAATCATCATTTTCATAGAATCTACTTTGTTCTCTTCATATTTCTTGTTGCTGCTGCTGCCGCTTCTTCTTCTTCTTCTTCTTCTTCTTCTTCTTCTTCTTCTTCTTCTTCTTCTTCTTCTTCTTCTTCTTCTTCTTCTTCTTCTTCTTCTTCTTCTTCTTCTTCTTCTTCTTCTTCTTCTTCTTCTTCTTCTTCTTCTTCTTCTTCTTCTTCTTCTTCTTCTCTTCTTCTTCTTCTTCTTCTTCTTCTTCTTCTTCTTCTTCTTCTTCTTCTTCTTCTCTTCTTCTTCTTCTTCTTCTTCTTCTTCTTCTTCTTCTTCTTCTTCTTCTTCTTCTTCTTCTTCTTCTTCTTCTTCTTCTTCTTTCTTCTTCTTCTTCTTCTTCTTCTTCTTCTTCTTCTTCTTCTTCTGCTTCTTCTTCTTCTTCTTCTTTTTCTTCTTCTTCTTCATCCCTATACTCTCCATCTTTCTTCCTCGTTATTTATGTAATTCCTCATGCTTATCCATCTTCTCTGCCTCCTCCTTCTTGAGTTGTCATTCAGCAGATTTTAGGTTACATTATTATTATTATTATTATTATTATTATTATTATTATTATTATTATTATTATTATTATTATTATTATTATTACCATTGTTATTTTTTTGGATTATTGCACCCTTAAACAACGTTTGTCCCTTTTCATCGCCTTTAAAATCAGCCCCCCCCCCTTCTTTCTCGTTATTTTGTTGTTGTTGTTGTTGTTGTTGTAGAGGTGACCACAAAGAACAAATGAAAGAATCACAAACTGGGCACGCAGGCCGTTTCAAACAGCCATCTTATTATTGGGGCTGTACCGAATAGTGATTTTCACTATTCGGCCGAATACGAATAACGGGACCAACTATTCGGCCGAATACGAATACGAATAGTGTATTAAATTTATCCCCCCCCCCCCCCTTTTTTTTTTTTTCTCCCCCCCCCCTTTTTCTCCCACCCCCAACTTTTTTTTTCTCCCCCCCCCCTCCCCCACCCAAAAACATTCATAATGTCAAAGGTACGCTGAACGTTTCCTTCACATAAAGTAGCACAGAATAGTCATCTTCTTCTTTAGCATTCTGAGCTCTTGATGTTTACTGCTGCATTCATCTCTCTGGCAGGCCTTCTCTTCACAATTTGTGACACTAGTTGTTTGCAGGTCTGACTGGACATTATCTCTCGAACTTCTTTTTTGTCTACCTCGTGGTCTACGACCATTCATCTACCTTGTGTATACAGTTTTTACTTCTTTGTCATCTTACCAACCATTTTAGTCTCTTAGCTCTCATGATGCCAGCGATCAATGGTGATTTAAACAAATTATGTGTTACGTTGTTGCTTCTCACTCTCCTTTCCCTGCTGTTAGCATCTTTGATGGGTCCAAGGATTAGTCGTAAGACTGTTTTCGAAAACCTGTAATAAGGTTTCATCTCTTTTATTTCTGCTCCAAGTTTCAGAGCCATATAAAACGATTGGACTAGTCTTTCAACGTTTTATATATTTTGACCTTGGTGTTGCAAGACAGACACTTTGACTTTTGCAGATGGTGAAGGGCATAGTATACTTTATTTCCAGATTGAATTCTATATTGTATTTCTTCTCTCAGTATTTTGGAGCAGTTGATGTTTGCACCCTAGTACTTACATGTTTCCGTTCGTTTGATTTTCATATTATCGACTTGGCTATGGCCGGAGTTTAAATTATTTTCATGTCTGGTTAGTATTCGTACAGAACAATAAACATTTAAAAACATTTTATGTCAGTCTGTGGTAACTAATAACTATGAATGAAAGAATCCTTAGTATTATAATAAGTACCTAAACTTGTAAATTGTCACCAACAACTTAGTTATTGCAGGAAAGCTGCATTAGCTTTCAACAAAACCAATCGTTCCATGCTGTCAGCATTAAGGCTGTATATGCAGAAGCGGGTGTAAGGTAACTACTATTCGTATTCGGCTCGACCGCAACTATTCGGCCGAATACCGAATAGTCAATAGGTCCACTATTCGGCCCCGAAGCGAATACGAAGCGAATATTCGGTACAGCCCTACTTACTATGAGTATCAAGTAAAATACACACAGACATGGATGCTAAATGCAAACATTATAATATACATGCGAAACATACACGCATTGAAAACATCATAAATACAAGGACTGGAGCAACACACTCATAGCGGTATGATTTTGAGGGAAGAAGGATTTTGAGCCAGACAGCTGGCGCAATTAAACCAGACCACAGTTATAACCAGATACTGTTGGCTTCAGCTTGCTAAGAGCAGGTTGAAGGTAGTCAATATTTTTTGGGTGGTAAAATAGAATGGAATGGAACACACGCAGACATGCAGTAACGTTGTTAATTAAGGTTATCAAGAATGTTAAGCCCCCGACATCACGGAGCAGACGAACGCTGTGATGTCATATTGACGATTTAAAGATGGCTGCTCCACTTTTCACATGCACCAAAGAGGGGCAGCGCTCTGTTATCCGCCGCCCCCCCCCCTTTTAAACCCCGTTTTTGAGATGGGGTTTATTCGTAAGCAGGCTATTGTTTCTTTGTCTTTTAGGCAGATGCATTCAGACCTCGACGAAAAGAAACTGAATTAGTCGACATTTACAACATACTTGTTGGTGACAGCGGGTCTATTCTTACCCCCCCCCCCCCCCCCGCCCCTCCTAATGTTTCCCTGGAACTCACACGGTGACTATCAATAGCCACTCCTTTGCTATATAGTCAGTATTAAATCCATCGCCTTTACTCTCCATGTAATTCCCTCGTACACATTCTGGGATGTAACGGTATGGTGGAATTCGAGGTATAACAACTGATGGATAGCAACTCTGGGCTAGATGTTGCAAAACTAAAATTAGAAAAAAAAAAAAAAAACAAGTAAAAGTCGGGTTATAAACCATAAGTGCTCTGCCACCAGTACGGACAGCTGATAAGAAACTGTCCACCTGTGTCGCCCTCCGCATGCAACTCCGTAGCTACAGCGACATTCCTCCATTTACCCTAAAGTGTTAACTCTGGTAAACGTTACCTAAAGGCTGGCTTTTAACACCGGCCGTGGGCTGCAGCGAGTCGCAGCTGGATTTTAGAGCGAGTCTCCTATCGACTGCGCTAACACGGCCCCACTGATGCAAAACTCCTAGCCGATGTTTCTATTCTTCGGGGTGTAAGATCTGGCTGTTTTTTTTTTCCAGCTACAGTAAAGGGAAAGATCGTAACAGAACAAAAAGGTGCCTTTTTATCTACAACTTCAAGGATTAGAATGGACGTAGAGGCAATCACTGCAGCTCTAAAGTGGTTAGCAGAAAATGGAGTTACCAAAGGAATCATAGTATCCGATTCTCAGTCACCACTGCGGAAAATTCAAAATGGACAGATGTGGCATGAGTGGATATCAAGAAATTGTTTTGCCTACCGATTGTCCAGGATTCACAGCCATATGTTAAAACTGGATGTATGTAGCAAGCAAGAATTCTTTTTCTAACACTCAGTGACAAAGATATATTGCATAAGATGTTCTTCATTTTATAAAATGCAGTTTTTGCCTGTCCTATTCTGTTTCTTATCTCAGTAATGCATCTTCCATCTGATGTTATCCATGTGCCCAGATAGGCCTACTTATATTTCTGTATTTGTCCCAAAATAACACCATTGACCTTTTTTTTACACATTTAGAAATGATTCTTTTCTTTGATACTACCATTACTTCTGTCTTCCCATTATTTCAGACTGAGGCCCATTCTTCCACTTTCTACAACCACAATGTCTATCATTTAGTGTAATTCTTTCTGACTTGTTGCTCTCAAGACTGTGTCATTAGCATAACGTAACTTGTTTAGATTGTGCCTACCAACCACAATACCGGGAATATCAATTATTCCCTTATAATATTGTTTTCTGCGTTTACCGGTTGTAATCTCCGACAGAATGTTATGGTTTTTCAACGACCTCTAGACTGTAGACGCCTTCCAGAACCTGAGTGTTGCGTGCACATCTGTTTTACAGAACTGACTTATGTGTACTTAAAATCATTGCACTGGTTGACCCTGTCTGATCTTTTTTACCTTTTATTTTCTATACCGAGTTGGCAGCTGGCACTTTCTATTTATAATAAAAATGATAAAACTGAAATTTATTACATATTTCGTAGTACTTTCAAGTAGGTTAATATATCTGTTATTTAAGTAATTTTATCTTTAATATTATCAAAGATTATTTTATATTTTAAGGTTGTTTAAGCGAAGTTAGTGAGGCGGCAAGTTTGGCCAAGGGTATAAAGTGAGGTCGGCCGTGGGTGGCAACGAGCGCCGGCACACCCTGCTGCAAAGCTCATGTGCCCAGCTCGTCAGATATTTTGTTGTTGTCTGATTCCCAAATCTTCGCCGGCCGAAGCGGAAAATTTAGGTATGGGCTCGATTGTTTGTCTTTTAGGACACTGTTGGTTTGTTTTGTGTGGGTGAGGGATGCTAGTTTGGTGTGGTTTTTGTTTGGTTGAAGTGAGTGAGCAGTGTGGGGCCCGGTCGTCAGGCATGGGGACTAGACTATGTCTAGAACTAGAGTCACTGACTAGAGAGACCATTGATAGTGGGAGCCAGTTTTCGTTTCGATCAGTCGGTTATGTCAGATGCGAACTAAACCCTAAACCAGATCGGACTACCGAGATAACTTTTTAACATTAGAGAGCCTAATCAAACATACTTTACCTCTGTTGAATTCTGAATTCTCCTCTGAATGGCCGAATGTATAGATAGTGACTACCCAACTCACTGACTCAAGTGACTGTCAGTGATCTTTCAGTAGACGCAGACAGACACTAATAATCCCTCCTAGAGGGGGATAGTTGTTATGATTAGTTTAAAAAAAATCATTTATGATTATGTGTTCTTTTCCAAGTTTGGCTGTACTGTAATATCTGGTGTTTTTTCTAGTGGTGTCAGCACCCTTTTCAAGGCATTTTTTTTTTCAGTACTATTATTATATAATTTGAGTCGCAGCGCAGGGTCTGCTAGGCATGTCGACCTCACTTTGTGGTCTGATTCGTGCCTTCTCCAGTCCATAATTGCACTGCAGCCAGGGGACAGAACTCCGACTAACCGGCCGTCTACTGTTGTCTACCGGTCGTAGTTGAAAGGAGAGCCATTCAAGGCATTTTTTTTCAGTACTATTATTATTATATTATTACCATTCTTCTTCTTGCTGTAAACTCTTGGGGAAAGTTCTGGTTGTTCATCCACTTCTGGACTGCAATTCTGTTCCAGAACTCGAGTGTTGCATGTGCATCCATTTTACAGATCTGACTTATTTGTATGCAGACTGCTGGTTCCTTGCCTCTCAGGCAGATGCACTCGACTCTGAAGGAAGCTCCCAATTAGTTGACTCTTACAACATGCTTTTGGGTAGGCAGCGGGTCTATTCTTGTTTTCCCTATAATGGGACCCCGGGACCCAGACAGGGAATTATTACTATTATATCTTCTTCTTCTTCTTCTTCTTCTTCTTCTTCTTCTTCTTCTTCTTCTTCTTCTTCTTCTTCTTCTTCTTCTTCTTCTTCTTCTTCTTCTTCTTCTTCTTCTTCTTCTTCTTCTTCTTCTTCTTCTTCTTCTTCTTCTTCTTCTTTCTTCTTCTTCTTCTCTCTCTTCTTCTTCTTCTTCTTCTTCTCTTCTTCTTCTTCTTCTTCTTCTTCTTCTTCTTCTTCTTCTTCTTCTTCTTCTTCTTCTTCTTCTTCTTCTTCTTCTTCTTCTTCTTCTTCTTCTTTCTTCTTCTTCTTCTTCTTCTTCTTCTTCTTCTTCCTTCTTCTTCTTTCTTCTTCTTCTTCTTCTTCTTCTTCTCTTCTTTCTTCTTCTTCTTCTTCTTCTTCTTCTTCTTCTTCTTCTTCTTCTTCTTCTTCTTCTTCTTCTTCTTCTTCTATTCTTCTTCTTCTTCTTATTCTTTCTTCTTCTCTGTATTCTTCTTCTTCTTCTTCTTCTTTCTTCTTCTTCTTCTTCTTCTTCTTCTTCTTCTTCTTCTTCTCTTCTTCTTCTTCTTCTTCTTCTTCTTCTTCTTCTTCTTTCTTCTTCTTCTTCTTCTTCTTCTTCTTCTTCTTCTTCTTCTTCTCTCTTCTTCTTCTTCTTCTTCTTCTTCTTCTTCTTCTTCTTCTTTCTTCTTCTTCTTCTTCTTCTTCTTCTCTTCTTCTTCTTCTTCTTCTTCTTCTTCTTCTTCTTCTTCTTCTTCTTCTTCTTCTTCTTCTTCTTCTTCTTCTTCTTCTCTTCTTCTTCTTCTTCTTCTTCTTCTTCTTCTTCTTCTTTCTTCGATCCTTCTGTCAGAAAACTTATATCAGGAGGCCGGTAGCCTTTATGAAAGCTATCGTGCAATCCATATCCTCTTGTGTACCATACAGTTTTGTCTTTATTGTGGTTATATGATTTTACTGTAATACTACTAAAAGATAGACATTTTATAGTGAATAAAATACTGGCACCTTCTTCAGACACTTAGTGGTGAGTTCTGGCACTTTGTTTCTAGAATTAAAAACAAAAACCCTCTATAATACTGAGTCTCCCAACACTAATGTTTCTTCTTCCAGTTGTTGTGCAAAGTGTACTACTACTACTACACTCTCAGACTAGTGTTCTGCGAAGGCTTTGCTACATGTTACTTGTTAGTTAGTCCTGACATCCTCATCCACTGCACATCCAATCATTCAGACCTCAAGTGTTGGGATCAGGCTAGTTAGGCAGTAATCTGATTATCCTCAGGGGGCATTAGATCATTCAGTTTGTAACTGTTCAAACCCACCCCCCCCCCCTTTTTTTTTTTCTGGATATCCCTCCATGTATAGTGGCTAACAACACCAGTTCTGTTTTTTATTTTTCTTTAGCTTCCTGGATAGTGCTTTTGTCTGGCCACACCTGGTTTCTACAGCCTTTAGTTTTAACAGCCTGATTTTCTTATTCTTTTTTGTGTTCACTGGCTAATGTTGTGGTTGTTCGTCTGTTTCCGCACTTTAGCCTCTTTCCATAACTTGAGTGTTGCGTACACATCCATTGGTCAGATTAGGCTTATCTGTGTGCAGACTGTCAGTTCCTTGCCTCTTAGGCAGGTGCGCTCCAACTTTGAAGAAAACCAATAATTAGTTGACTCTTATGACATGCTTGTTGGGGAGGCAGTGGGTCTATTCCCCCTTCCCCCCAGAATGGGGACTTAGAACCCACATCCCCCGTGTGGGTTCCGGGGCCCCCATGTGGGGAAAACAAGAATAGACCCACTGCCTCCCCAAAAGCATGTCATAAGAGTCGACTAATTGGGGAGCTTCCTTTGAAGTCGGAGTGCATCTGCCGGAGAGGCAAGGAACCAACAGTCTGTATTCAAGAGAATGAGATCTGTAAAACTGATGCACACGCAACACTCAGGTTCTGGAGCAGGACTGCAGTTCAGTAGTGGACGAAGAACCAGAACTTTACGCCAGAGTGTACAGCTGGTGAACACGAAGAAGAAGAAGAGAACCCACATGGTGAAGCAGCCTGATCATGGCTTCTCATTCTCGGACATCATTCTCATACATCATTCTCATTCTCAAAAATCATTCTCGTTCTCAGACATCATTCTCATTTTCTGATGTCATTCTCAGACATCACTTGATTCACACAAGCTTGGTATTTATTCTTATTGAGTATTCAGTATATCATATAGACCGACAGAACGCATCTACCCTAAAGGCAAGGAAGCAACAGTCTGCATACTAATAAGCCAGATCTGTAAAACAGTTGTGCATGCAACACTCAAGTTCTGGAACAAGACCAAAAGTTCAGAAACGGATGAATAGTCAGAATCCCCCCCCCCCCCCCCCCACCCCCCCCCCCCTCCCAGAGTTTACAGCCAGTGAACACTAGGAAGAAGATATATTAGTACACATCTGTGTTTGGGTTCCGGGGCCCCTTTGTGGGGGAAAACCAGAATAAAGAAGAATAAAGTAAAATATTAACAAAAAAAAAAAAAAGACAAAAAAAAAAAAAAAAAAAAAACAAGAGAAATGAAAAACCAGAATAGACCCAGTTCCCCCCCCCCCCCCCCCCCCCCCCCCCCCCCCCCCCCCCCCCCCCCCAACAATCATGTCATAAGAGCCAACTTAATGGGTTTTTCTTCAAAGTCTAAGTGCATCTGCTTGAGAAGCAAGCAGTCATCATCATGTGCCCTGCCAACTGGCGTTAGCGCTCATGCGTCGCCACAGATCATGATCCCTAGTTCCCTGGATACGACTCTCTTGATAATATCCCTCCATGACATCGTTTCAGCCCATCCAGCATCGTCTCTCTTGGTCTGCCTCTACCCCTTTTCCCACTGATCTTTCCAGTAAGGAACCAACAGTTTGCATATGAATAAACCAGATATGTAAAACAGCTGTGCATGCAACCCAGAACTTTCCACTGGAGTTTAAAGTTACAGCCGGCGAACATTTTGAAATAGATATATCAGTATACAAAAGATGATTAAGTAAAAACACAACATTGTGAAACAAGGTCATTGCCTCTGAGCTGAGAAATTGGTTAGGCAAGATAACCTATTTATTAAGTACAGGAAAAATGCATCAAGGTATCTAGTAGCCGACTTTGCTTGCATAAATAGGTCAGTGTATTCAGGGAATATTGACTTGTGTTTTAGGTTGTTATTATTTGATACAAGCCTTTTGAGAAGGGATTAAATTATGTGTATGACCAGTGTTACAGCAACGGCTGAAGTGAGTTGCAGCTGAGTTATGTAATAATAATAGCGTAATGATAATTAGCAACAGAGTAACAACTGAAGTAAGTAGCAAGAGTTGAGTAACAACTGATGTAACTAGCAGATTTGTTGTAACAACTGAGGTGAGTGGCAGTCGGTTTGTACACAAACAAAAATGAGTATACATATTTTTTCCGTGTTTAACAATGGTTGACCTGTTCTTGGGTACTAAGGCTTGATTTGTCTAGCTGGTCGTTATAATCCTGTGCAGTCCTTTCGATGTCATAAATGGAGCTCAGTTCAGCACCTTTGGCCTCTCTCATCAACACTCATTTTAGCGTTTCTCTTGGGTCTTTTTTAACAAATCATTGTCTTGTTGTGCCATTATATGTCACATAGGGCTTGCCGTCTGTGCCTCCATTTCGTTCTGTCCTATGCAGTTAGTTCAGTATCATGGATGGAATACAGTCCAGCAGCCTTGGCCTCTTTCATGTACATTCATTTAAAAGTTTCTGTTGAGCCCTTGCTTTCTCAATTCTTTGTACACCTAGTGGCACATGAGGCTTCAGAGAGGACTTTCCATGCTTTCCTGTCCTGTGCAATCTTCAGTGCAGTTTTCCATGTCAGAGATGCCGCACTCAGGTCACTTTCCATCGTTTGTCTTTATGTTGTTTTTGGGCGCCCCTTTTTTTCTCTTTCCCTCTGGTGTCCAAGTGAGAGCTGTTTTCCTTAGTCCCTCAGTTTCCAATTTCAGTGCCTGTTTGGGGATTCCCTGCTGGTTTCTTCTGGGGATGTGTCCAGTATAGCAGCATTGTCTTTGTCTTATAGCTGTCGCTTGTTTGTTGTTGAAAGCCATGAATTCATGAAGCGATTACATGTGAACATTCTCATTCACAGGTTCATATAATGCTAGGAGATGTGCCACATTTAAGGCAACGTAAGATGGAAGCGTATTTAATTTTGGCTTGAAGATTATAATTCAATTTCTTGTTTATTTGTCTAGTTTGACTGAATGTTGAAATTGTTCTTTCTTCTTCTAATTTGTGTTCACCATCTGTAAACATAACAATTGTTTTGGTTTTTCACCCACTCTTGAACTAAATCTTTTTCAAGAATTTGAGATTTGTGTGCACATCTGTTTTACAGATCTGGCTTATTTGTATCCAGACTTTTGGTTACTTGCCTCGCAGGCACACTCCGAAGTACTTATTTCTCACCTCAGACCGATATGCTGTAACTTCGATGGAAAAGTCTCGAATCAGTCGCCTTTTTTCATGTGTTCTAAAAAGGGGCAGTAAGCGTGTTCCCACACAACATGGGGGTCTGGCCCACTGAAATCAGGCGGAAAATGTTTGGGTAGAAGTTTCCAGAAGCGTCTAACAATTGCCTAAAAAGAAAGGGAGCTAACAAACTTACCTGTGCGCTCCCCCTATAGGTTTTAATGCCTCGATTTTTGTTTGAAAAGGGGGGGGGGGGGGGGGGGTGGTATTTAGATTCTAGCAAGCATGTCATAAAAGGTCACTAATTAAACAGTTGCAGAAATTGAATATGAATTAAATACAACATCCGCTAAAGTCAGAGTCTATCTCGCAACAATTAGGTCTAAATATTTAAAATGTCGATAAGATCAGTCGTTTTAAAAGGCTCTGAAATGGGAACACAACTAAAAGAGATAAGGGCTTATTACAGGTTTTCGAAAACAGTATTGTGACGAATCTTTGGACCTATCAAAGGTGTAAACAGCGGGGAATGAAGACAGATGCAACAACGAAATTCATGGATCGTTGGCATCGTGAAAGCTAATAGGTTTAAATTAAAAAAAAAAAGTAAAGTTCCCTTTTCACGCATTTCGGCGCATCGGGCATATGGGCAGAGCGTCCCATATTTTTACAGACCATCAGCACTCGGTGGGTAATGTGGTCAGCATTACGCCGGCTGTCTTTACTTTCCCAGGACAGCCCATCCTGGTACCCATTTTAGGCTGGGTCGACCTGCGACACAAGGGAGATGAATGGTCACAGACCACAAGGCCACCCAAAAAAAATGATGGAGAGATAATTTCAGACAGACCTGCAAACACTCGGCGTCACCAACTGGAAAGAGAAGTCCAACCAAAGAGATGAGTGGAGGTGGGTGATATCTGCAGCAATGAACCTCAAGGGCTTGGAATGCTGAAGAAGTCCAACCAAAGAGATGAGTGGAGGTGGGTGATATCTGCAGCAATGAACCTCAAGGGCTTGGAATGCTGAAGAAGTCCAACCAAAGAGATGAATGGAGGTGGGTGATATCTGCAGCAATGAACCTCAAGGGCTTGGAATGCTGAAGAAGGCCAACCAAAGAGATGAGTGGAGGTGGGTGATATCTGCAGCAATGAACCTCAAGGGCTTGGAATGCTGAAGAAGAAGAAGAAGAAATTGAATATGCTGTGGTAAAAGGCGCCATTGTTGCAACCTAGCTGTTTGTCAAACTTTTCTTTGTCTTAGTGTTTAGCAGCTGTAAACTACAGCAGAAAATCAGGTTGTTCAGCCATTTCTGGACTTAAGTTTTGTTTCAGAACTTGAGTATGTCATGGTGTACTTTAGTGTACCGGATCTGGATTGTTTAAAAGGAGACTGTTCCTCGCCTCTCAGGCAGATGCACTCTTAACTTTGAGGAAACACCACATGCTTTTGGAGGGTGGGGGGAGGGCCCAGAACTCAATACGGTTTGTAGGGAAAAGGGGGAGAAGAAGAAAAAGTAAACAGCTGTTAAGGAGCATCAAAAACGATTAAGAACGCCGAGCTTTCATGTCGAAGACCCGGGTTCAGATCGTCTGAAAGGTTGAGGATTTTTTTTTTTCTGTCGGGGGCAAAAATAGAATCCCAACCTGCACAGTCATTTAAAGGCCTTCAAAGGGCACGCTGCTTTTTAAAGGGATTTTTGAGGAATCGAGGGTCACTTAAAAAAATGAAACAAATCAGAAATGAAAAGATTACTAGCCATGCGGCCCTAAATCCTTAGGCTAAAAGATACCCTCCCCTTACACTGCAGACATGGTAAATACAGACAGTAATGAGTGACGTTGTGGGGAGACGTGGTTGACTGCACCAGTTGACAAGACACTTAAAGTTGCTGAATCTCTTTGAATGTTTTCTGTCTTTATTTTTCAGCAATGAATGGCCAAGTAGACAGTCACGTGAATGGGAACGGGTGCCCTCATGAGCGGGTGGTCATTCTTGACGCCGGAGCCCAGTATGGAAAGGTCAGATGAGTCTAATGTATTATGATTGGCACTTTCTGGCAGCTATCAGATTTGCCAACACTGACAGTTCCTCGCCAGAATTGCTGTTGGCATATATTAGATTATACCTAAGTACTTGTATATTTTGCGAGCCATTATAGTGTGGTTGCTAGATGCTCGACTACAGATCCAAAGGTATTGGGTTCAAATCTGAATGCAGCCGAACTTTGTTCAGAAATCACCTGGGCTTCCAAGTTGACCCAGCTTTAAATGGGTCCTGGGAAGTAAAGGCGGCTGCATGATGTTGACCACATCACCAACCGAGTTTGATTGGTGTATACAGTGTAGGACTAGGACTGTGTGCCCGTGTTAGCGCAGTCGATAAGAGGCTCGCTTTCCAATCCAGCTGCGACTCGCTGCAGCCATGGTCTGTGTTAGAAACTGGGCGGTTCCCGGGGTTCACCCAGCCTCTAGGAAATGGGTACCAGAGTTGACACTCTGGGTTAAATGGCGGAACGTTGCTGTAGCTACAGCGGACAGTGTCTTATTAGCTGTCCATACTGGTGGCAGAGCACTTATGGTTTATAACCATGTGCAGTGACACTGACTCACATCTCTCGACTTTACCTTTACCTTTGTGTGCCGAATGCATCTTAAGACAGGGCAAGGTGTCTTCTTTTTTCACTTATATATTTAGGTTTAAAAAAAATTTATATTATAAATCTTTATATTATAAATCTTTATGGTTTATTCTTGATGGCATAAAATCACTTTGTTAAGACATCCAAACATAACTGGGAGTGCAAAGAAATAGATTATAAACATAAAACTTATTCCAGTGTTGAGTTACCAATGTCAAACATGGACACTATCTAAAGCCCACTTACACAAAATCACAATTTGCAAGATGAGATGCTTAAGAACAGCTGATAACCTAACCATCGGAGATTGAGTTAATAATGATACTATTAGATGGATTGTGGGGAGGACACCTTGTTACAAGATTCATCGAGGAACAGCAGATGAAGTGGTTTGGCCAGCACGCTAGAATGCAGCAACATCAAATATATCAGAAGATCAGCTAACAGGTCCTCCAAGAGGATATCCACAAAAATTATGCATCAACAGCATTAAAGAAACTCTATACCTCCATGGAATGACAGCAGCCAGCTCGCAGTGGATCGCAAATGATTCCTCCCCATGATGCTCAACGGCAGAAGTGGTTTATGGTGATGATGATGATGTAATGGGTGGTTCTCTTTCAGGTGATAGACAGAAAAGTTCGAGAGTTGAATGTAGACTCAGAGATCCTGCCCTTAGACAGTCCTGCCTACACCCTGAAGGAGAAAGGATACAAGTAAGTTATTGTTTGTGGCTAGAGTTTTTGGAGCTACACAGATGTTGCTAGTCTGTCAACCTCAAAGTTTTGTGTTCGAATCCTTTTCGTTCCCAGACAGTGAGGGTGCTTTTGGCAGTGAAATAGTCCTAGGCAGTGTGGGTGTTTTTGGCAGTGAGATAGTTGATAGATTGGCTGGTTCTTGCCGTGGTTGCAGATGGCCACACTATTGATCACGCGGACATTAGTAATGCCCTTAGAGAGATAGGGTGAGTGGAGGGTTTTTGGGAGCAATGCGTCTACATCGGCAGGTGGCCCATTGCATGTACTTACTCCATATTATGTGTCCAATTTTGTGATTTCAAAATACACTGACTAAAACTTAATTGTAGAAAGATGCTTAATGTGATGTTTGAGACACTTGATGTGATGTTTGAGACACTCGATGTGATGTTTGAGACACTTGATGTGATGTTTGAGATGGGGGGGGGGGGGGGGATAATCAGTAACATGTCATTTATGAGACTGAAAGAGCTAATAAATATTTATCCTAATTTGTAATTATTTCTCAATCCACTGCCAGGGCTATAATCATCTCCGGAGGCCCCAGCTCCGTCAACGATCCATCGGCCCCACATTACGATCCAGACATATTCAGGTGTGGGTTGCCCGTACTGGGTATATGTTACGGTATGCAGGTATGCATTGGCCTATTTTTGATTTTGTTTTAAATGTGTTTATTCAGTATTTCTTTTACGCTCACGTGCGGATGGGAAGGTTGTGGGTTCGCTCCCTAGCGGAGCCGGACTTTTAAAAAAAAATTTACCTTGACCGCCAGGTCGGCCCAGCTTTGAGTGGGTACCGGGTGCAGTCCCGGTAAGTAGAGACGGCAGGCGTTATGTTGACCACATCACCCATCTTGTGCCAGTTGGTCTATAAAAACATAGGTCTAGCCCTATTTGCCCTACTCGTCTAAAGGTGTGGAAAAGGGACTTTTACTTTACTAGTATTTATTTTAATTTTTGACGTCTGAGGCTTAGGTGTTGCTAGTGTGATTGCTTTGTAAGGAGGAAATACAATACATAGTTTGATACAGCTGCTGGCGATTTGACACCAGACCGCATTGCATTGGTTTTGACAGTGGTATCTTCTTCTTCTTCTTCAGCGATCTCTGGTCATGCGCATAATCCACTGTGGGTCATAAACTGGGATGTCTTTTCAAGGTCTCTTAGGTTTCCCCAAAGCTTAGTTGTCAGTTCTACTGGGTGTTGCCATATGTCGCTCCGCAGCTCCGCCAGGAGAGGACAGTCTTGCAGGACATGTTCTGGAGTTGCATGATTAAAAGTGGTGGAAGTGTGTCCTCGCAGTTAGAAGTGACACCCTGTCCTCCCCTAGCAATGCAGGAAGCCGCGGGGCTGTTGGTGGCTAAGGGTAAACCTGTTTGAGATGTGAGAGCGAGTCCCGCTTTCACTTGATTGTTACCCAACGTGGTGGTACCACTATTGGATAAATATTTGCGCATGGCCATTGAGTTAACCGTATGTGTCGATTCCTCCCCACCAAATATATGGTTGACACATTCCGTTTCTGGGGACAGCTTTTATCGAGTTTGCTCTCTAGACAGTTGCAGTCCCCTGCTGACGAGATTCTGTCTTCCCGAGTGGACCGCCGCGATCAAAACATTGCGAAGGCAGCGTGGTCGAGGCTGCCAAAACTATCGGTCATTATCCCGCCCCGACACAGCACAACCACAATACACGCTGTTCCCACGAAAAACACATAATATCCTGCGTTGGAAATGCGCATAAAATAGCAGTCCATGATTATAGAACAGAATAATCCGAGAGAATTGACAGCCAGCGACAATAAACACAGCTGCTGTCCGCCATTTTGAAAACAGAAGTCCACAGTGGTATCTAAGACCAATGCAACTTCATTGTACCCACATTCGTGTAGGTCTACCTCCGCCTGATTTTCCTAAAACCGCACCCTCCGTCCTTCTAATCCGTCTATGACCCCTACCCCCGTGTCCAGGGTTTCATGAAGAAAGTGTTTTTGTCAGCGGGTATCATGTAACTTGCTTTGTTTCTGTACCAGTGCAAATCAAATGAAATGTCCCTCACTGTCGCATTTGAAAAACTGGTAAACAAACAATTAGCCCCAGAACAATCCAGAAATATTTGCACGTAGTAAATGTAAATTTCAGTTACTGGAGGTGCCAAAGCCAACAATCGCCAAAAGAAATGCAGTTTATCCTTGATGGAAGTGATGGGCACGATAATTTGGTTACTATACACATGCAGAATTATTACATAAAGTATTTCACCAGCTCACACGTAAACCGGCTACCGGCCATATTGGGAACGGTTGTTCAGGGGGTAGCGTTAGATGCCGCAGTACAGACAGGTTAAGGAAATTTTGTCAGAGGCCAAGTCCCAAAGTAAGAATAGTGCTTCCACACATGGCAGAGTGAGGGCGATGAACTGGCGAAAGTAACGCACAGTAAAAATGGTGATGCAGGAAACAAGAATGTTGAAAAAATTACACACCTAGTATAAAGGAGTTGTAGTCATTGATGGTTAGTGTTGAATGAACAGTGATTGACCCCTGACCTCCTCCTCAGAGTATAGGACTGACCCCTCCTCAGAGTATAGGACTGACCCCTCCTCAGAGTATAGTACTGACCCCCTCCTCAGAGTATAGTACTGACCCCCCTCCTCAGAGTATAGTACTGACCCCCTCCTCAGAGTATAGGACTAACCCCCTCCTCAGAGTATAGGACTGACCCCCCTCCTCAGAGTATAGGACTGACCCCCTCCTCAGAGTATAGGACTGACCCCCTCCTCAGAGTATAGGACTGATCCCCCTCCTCAGAGTATAGGACTGATCCCCCTCCTCAGAGTATAGGACTGATCCCCCTCCTCAGAGTATAGGACTGACCCCCTCCTCAGAGTAAAGGACTGTTCCGGGAAGCTCCCTATAAAAAGAGTAAGTAAAGTAAAGATCCCTTTTGACGCCTTTCGGCGCATCGGGCATATGGGCCTAGCGTCCCATATTTTTACAGACCATCAGCACTCTGTGGGGAATGTGGTCAGCATTACGCCGGCTGTCTTTACTTTCCCACGACAGCCCATCTTAGTACCCATTTCAGGCTGGGTCGACCTGCGACGTCCCATACCACGACAAAAATCCACGCAGCCTGCAGTGGGTTTCAATCGCGGTATGCTGGCTTACGAGTCGGACTCGCAACGCCTTAGCCACGGACGCCGCTATAAATAGAGTGGTGAAAACAAATAATTGCAGATTTAAAAAATGCTTTTTCGAAAGGTTAAAGTTCAAAGGATCAGCTTCATTTGTGCACTGGGTTTATTCCATATAGCTCAGTCTCTCTCTCTCTTCACCTGCAAAGAGTGTCACATAAATCACTAACCCCCTAGCTCCGGCAATCACCCCCTCCCCAGACCTCTGTAAAATTTGCACTTGTGGATGGAACAGCACAGTCATGAAGTGAACTCGCTAGTGGCTTGCCCACTTCGCACGGAGATCCCCCGACTGAGTCTGTGAAAGGGGGTACAACTTGTTGAGGTTGGTTTTTGACAGGAAACTAATTCTTTTTTAACATGATAAACCCCTTCTGCCGTTAAGCGTCGTGGGGAGGAATAATTTGCGATCCAGTGCACGCTGGCTGCCACTGGCTATTGTCATGCCGTGAAGGTGTAGAGAGTCTTTAATGTTGTCGATCCATGTTTTCCGCGTCCATCCCCTTGCTCTTGTAGCTGATCTTCTGAGATGTAGCGCTTGTGATGGTATTTGATCTTGCTGCATTCTAACGAGATGGTCAAACCACTTTATCTGCTGTTTCTCGATGAATTTAGTACAAGTTATCATTCCCACAATTTGAGAAATAGTTTCATTATTTTAATGTAACAGGTGGAATCTGCACCAGTTTTTAAATCCACACTCCCAGGGCATTTTCTGCGGCTCCATTTTTTGGAGAGCAAAGAATTCACTTGCTGCTTCCCAAAACAAGCATTTCGTAGGAAGCGGCTGATCAAGGGGGTTTTTCTCATCAGCCTGAGAGACAGGGAACCAACAGTCTGCATACAAATAAGACAGATCTGTAAAAGGGTTGTGCCTGCAAAAGCCAAAGTCCAAGAGTGGATGATCAGCCAGAACTTGCTGCTGAAGTTTACAGTAAACACTTAGAAGAAGATGATTGGAACACAGTTTTAAAATCCACACCAATTATGACCTTCACACACCAGATGCTGAACAAAGAATTTGGAGGAAAAGTCACAAAGACAAATACAAGAGAAGACGGACAGTTTGAAATCACAGTCGACACATCTTGCTTGTTGTTCAAGTATGTATTTTGGTTTGCTGTGTTTCTTGTTTCTTAATTTGCATTTTTGCGAGAACCAAGGGGTGACTTTGAATGTGCAGCTATGATCAAACTGCAAGAAAAGCAAGTTAAAAGTAGGGAACTCGGTTACGAGCACTATACAGAAAGTAAAAAAAAGAATAATAAACCAACATACAAGTGCTGCTGGATTTAGAGTGGGGGATCTGATCACTTATGGACTGAATGGATCAATGTGCAATAAGGATGATCTTTCTGTTGACTAATTAATTTGTTAAATAAATCGTTACCTAACTAGAGGCAAAATCGGTCAGTTTGTAAACTTAGGTGCCTTGATAACAGCAGCTGGGGAAAGAAGGTTAAAGGTAGAATGGTTCAAGCAAGAAAATGTTTAGAAATCACACTGAAGCCTCTGTCACCTGGCCATCTGGCGTGAAAGATGAAGAATGAGCAGGCCAACTGGCAAACAGTGCACCAATGCATGTGGGAAGAAGCATGGACTGAGCAGATATCAACACTATGGATTTGGTTAGTGGATAATGACGGATCTCTGACATGAAACACCTCACATATCCATCTGCTCACTTTAGACTGATGTTGTATATCCAGTTTTACCAGATGCTTCACATATCCAACTTCTCTCTTAGGCTTCTGCTGTCTTTTTGCAGATGTTGTATATCAAGTTTTACCAAGTGTTTCACATACCCATCTTCTCTCTTAGGCTTCTGCTGCCATTTTGCAGATGTTGTATATCAGTTTTACCAGATGCTTCACATATCCAACTTCTCTCTTAGGCTTCTGCCATCTTTTTGCAGATGTATATCCAGTTTTACCGAAATATCCTACAAAGCAAATTTAGCCAGCAATGTAGCAGTCTCATCAGCCATTAAGCGCCGCTTGTTTGCTAAAAATTATTGTTGTGTATAATGTGCCCGATGTGTCATTGGTGGGAAAAAGGTCCTTACGTGTTCGTCTTCTGCGTTTATTTGAAACAGGAAGTTGGAGGAGAAGCAGCAGGTGCTGCTGACTCACGGAGACAGCATCACGCAGCTGGCTGATGGGTTCAAGGCTGTGGCTCATTCTGGCAGTTGTATCTCAGGTATGTCGTCTTGCTGATTAGTTTTGTCACACATCCGCTACCACACATACAGTGATATGTCTCCAGTGTCTGATTACTTTTGTCACTTATCCGCTACCACACATGCAGTGATGTGTCTCCAGTGTCCGATTAGTTTTGTCACACATCCACTACCACACATATGGTGATATGTCTCCAGTGTCTGATTAGTTTTGTCACACATCCGCTACCACACATACAGTGATATGTCTCCAGTGTCTGATTAGTTTTGTCACTCATCCGCTACCACACATACAGTGATGTGTCTCCGGTGTCTGATTAGTTTTGTCACTCATCCGCTACCACACATACAGTGATGTGTCTCCAGTGTCTGATTAGTTCTATCACACATCCGCTACCACACATACAGTGATGTGTCTCCAGAGTCTGATTAGTTCTATCACACATCCGCTACCACACATACAGTGATGTGTCTCCGGTGTCTGATTAGTTTTGTCACTCATCCGCTACCACACATACAGTGATATGTCTCCAGTGTCTGATTAGTTCTATCACACATCCGCTACCACACATAAGTGATATGTCTCCAGTGTCTGATTAGTTTTGTCACACATCCGCTACCACACATAAGTGATGTGACTCCATTGTCACATAGTGACATAGTTCCAGTGCCACACCCTACGTTTCACACTCAGTGTTACACCCTAAATGACACACATCCATTGTCAGACCCTAAATACCTTCTTTTTCTTCTTCTTCTCTTCCACCTTGTACCTCATCGAAGTATTGGGGGGAGATGTAATGTTCGTTGGTGAGCTCTGTCTAGAGCACTATTAAGACTGGTGTTCATTTCTGTAAGATTGTTCCTAATGCCATCACTCCATCGTTTCTGAGGTCTTCCACTCGCTCTATACCTGTTGTAACGTTTTAGTGTGGCTCGCTGTGGCAAATAGTACCAGGGCATTCTTGTTAGGTGTCCAAATCACTTCATTTGTTGTTCTTTGATGACTTGTGAGACTGGCTTTATTGCTAGCTTTCGTCTGATTTTGTATTGTCTTTCCTTGAAACTCCTGCAGCTTTTCTACTGCCTTTCATCTCTTTTGTCACAATTTTACGTTCATTGGAGGATGTAAATGTCCACGTTTGGCACTGATAGCATAATGTTGGCCAAAAAATAGTTCTGATAAGATTCACTTTAGTACTCCAGGGTATCTGCTTGTGTGTCAACAGGGAAGATAGTTACCCCATTACTTGATTAGCTTTGGCACATCTCGAGCTAATTTCTCCATCCAGTTTTCCGGCGGATGTACCCTAAATACCACACTTAAAATTTCACACCATAGATGCGACACCTGGAAGGCGTTGATAATTGAGCTATATGTATACCAAATTTGTGCTGTCAGTACCAGGCATGGACATTCCTTGAAAAACAAATGCAAAAATACGACATGTCAGATAAGGTGTATAAGAGATACTTCGGGGAAAGACAAGAAGAGAGAGTCACCAATGAAAAACTAAGAATTGTGGTTCCCCGTGTGGGTTCCGGGGCCCTGTTATAGGGAAAACAAGAATAGACCCACTGCCTACCCAAAAGCATGTCGTAAGAGTCAACTAATTTGGAGCTTCCTTTAAAGTCGAGTGCATCTGCCTGAGAGGCAAGGAACCAGCAGTCTGCATACAAATTAGTCAGATCTGTAAAACGGATGCACACTCAATGCTCAGGTTCTGAAACACGACTGCAGTCAGTGGTAGGCACCGTACCAGTAAACGATTTTGTAGAACATTATTGAATGAAATGGTTTGGTCATCTATTCAAACAGGACCAACAATCAGCCAGCCGCTAGAGTGTATTGTATATATAAGAGTGGCAGGCTACATGTCAAGAAGTGCAGCTAAACTCGTCTCCATCTTAGACGCAATTTTTCAATATTTTGAAGCCCCACCCTGGCTTTTACTGGGGGGCCTCTCCATGGGTAATCCTCATCCGCATGGTGGCACTTTGTGTCACCGGGTGGTTATTGCTCTGTGTGAAGTCTTGGTGGGGTCAAATTTACTTACTTACAAGTCAAGAGGTTGAAGAAAGAGTTAAGCGGAGGAAGTAAAATAGAGACTACAGAAGTGCATTATGACATTAACACAAGCTACACAACTAGCAAAAGACAGGAAACTACACACAACTTTTCTGTAAGGTTATGTTACACATCTATTGTCATGTTGTTTCACTTGGATATTTTCTCCAGATTATGCTGGTGTGTTGGGAAATATGCAGGAAGATAGACTGGCTGACTCTGCACCCCTTGGTAGTGAACTGGTGTATGACAAGCTGGATATTGTGAGGGCCCTTTGGGAACAGGTGAACTGTGCGGAGGCGCAGATAGGTCATTACGGTCTGAGGAGAATGGCGCTGCGAGGAGTTACCAGAGGATTTGGCCGACGCTCAACACTCAGGGGAAGGATGAGATTGATATACAATCAGACGGTTACTAGTACCACTGAAATTGGAAATCTTCGCTTGAAGATGGGGACTGAGCACTTATAGGAATGTCTCGAGTGTTGTAATTCAACATTCAACATAGTGTCACGCATACATTGAGGGACGCAGGTTGAGTACAATGCATCTGTAGTCACCCTGTTTCTGTTATTCTCCTTAGCCATAGCCAACGAGAAGAGCAAGTTGTATGGTGTCCAGTTCCACCCAGAGGTGGACCTCACAGACAATGGCAAGCAGATGCTGCGCAACTTCCTGTTTGACATTGCCCAGTTCAGCGGGGACTACACGATGGCCAGCAGAGAACAGGCTTGTATCCAGTACATCAAAGACACGGTGAAGACGCACAAAGTTTTGGTTAGTAAATTTTTGCTTGCTTGTTTGCTCATCTACCCCTTCGCAGGCCCGAGGGTCACCCTCTTGGCAAGATGGAATACCTCTTTAGCATCATTTCATCTTTTTATCGTTCATGCTGTGTGGCGTTGGTAGTTCAGTACGTAAAGGACACGATTAAGACCACAAAGATTTGGTTAGTGGCTTTTCGCCAGCTACGTCTGTTTGCCCATCTACCCCTTCGCAGGCCCGAGGGTCACCCTCATGGCAAGATAGAATACCTCTTTAGCATCATTTGATCTTTTTATTGTTCATGCTGTGTGGCGTTGGTAGTCATGTATATCTACAACCTTCTGTCTCATGTACTTTCACTCAATTCTGACATGATGTCAAACAGTCCAGCATGTTCTCACTGTTTCCCTCTGCCGCTTTCCCATTGTCACGATAAACCCCTATTGTCTTCTTCTCATGACGTGACTGAAGAATGTAGAATGTCTCCTTCTGATCAGCTCACTTTGTGAGCTCTTTCTTTCATATTATCTTTATTGTATTTTTTAAAAATCTGTCCAGGGTATTCTCATTATTTGTGTATAAAATTACATCTTCATCACTTGCAAATAATTTTTCAATAATCTTCAGCCTCATGATTCACTTCCATAGACGAGGCTATAATTAATACAGCTGTTGAGAACTCTCATTCTCATCTCACTTGACGAAGAAAGATTGCATAGAATATTCTTCATTTAGCATCCGACTCCTGGTAGGCCAAATAGTGTGGCTGACAGCCGTAGGTGCAGGGGTGGATTAAGCTCGAGAACAGCTGACTGATAGTTGTTGGTCATAGTCCTGAGTTCCCCGGTTGCGGATGATGGATAACACTATATGTGGATTTACAACTTCATTTAGTTAGTTGCGTATCTCCCTGTGTGGGTTCTGGGGCCCTATTGTGGGAAAAACAACAATTGACCCACTGCCTCCCCAGCAAGCTTGTCATAGGAGTCGACTAATTGGGGACTTCCTTCGAAGTCGAAGGGCATTTGCCCAAGTGACAAGGAACAACTAACTGCACAGGAATCAGCCAGTCAAACGGATGTACATGCAAAACTCAGACCCTGGCACAAAGCCAAAGTTCAACGAACCAAGACTTTCTATGAGCGTACAATCAGTGAACAAAGAAGACGCTAGTTTTCAAGTTTGTAAAAAAAAAAACCAAAGTGAATTTCCTTTAAAACTTGTGAAATCAGCAATCACAGATCAAGACTGTTCAGCTGTGGCCAGTGGATCAATGCCAAAACTGATTGTTCTAGGCTCTCCACTTTCAATGAGTCAGGATGGTCGCTGGTGCTACAGAGTTCGTTTACTGCGTTAAGATTCTTCGGACTCAGGCTTGAGTTAGAACAGAGCACTTATGGGTTACTACCCTTGAGCCATGATGTTGATCTGTCATCTAAACGTAAACCTATCTAGTTGAGTGAACTTGCTTTTGCAGATGTTGCTGAGTGGGGGTGTTGACTCGACTGTGTGTGCTGCCTTGTTACACAAAGCCCTGATTGAGTGAACTTGCTTTTGCAGATGTTGCTGAGTGGGAGTGTTGACTCGACTGTGTGTGCTGCCTTGTTACACAAAGCCCTGATTGAGTGAACTTGCTTTTACAGATGTTGCTGAGTGGGAGTGTTGACTCGACTGTGTGTGCTGCCTTGTTACACAAAGCCCTGATTGAGTGAACTTGCTTTTAAAGATGTTGTTGAGTGGGAGTGTTGACTCGACTGTGTGTGCTGCCTTGTTACACAAAGCCCTGATTGAGTGAACTTGCTTTTGCAGATGTTGCTGAGTGGGGGTGTTGACTCGACTGTGTGTGCTGCCTTGTTACACAAAGCCCTGAACGAGGAGCAAGTCATTGCCGTGCACATCGACAACGGCTTCATGAGGAAGAACGAGAGCGAGCAGGTGGAACAGTCGCTGAATAATATCGGCCTCAAAGTCAGATGTAAGTTCTGTGTGGTGGTCCCTTGTGGGCTGTGTGTGCAGACTACAGGACAGTCCTGCAAGAATGTCCCTTGTGGGCTGTATGTGCAGACTACAGGACAGTCCTACAGGAATGTCCCTTGTGGGCTGTGTGTGCAGACTACAGGAAAGAATGTCCCTTGTACAGCTCATTAGAAAGGACCAACTGAGTCAACACTGCGCTCCAAGTTGTAAGGAACTAAAATGGAAGACTTGAAAATAGTCGAGACAAGAACTTGTCTGTCGGTGTTAATCAGAAAGCGAACAGAAGTAGAAGAAGGTAACCTCAATTGAACAACACACATATGTATTGATTTCACATTTTGTATCCCCAGTAATCAGAGCATCCCATACGTTCTACAACGCCACAACAAATGTTCACATAGACAAAGACAGCGGCTCTCGCAAGAGGAAAACGAACACGTTAAATACAACCACACACCCGGAGGATAAGAGAAAGATTATCGGAGACACCTTTATGAAGGCAGGTATTAGTTTATTTTATGGTGAGAGGTCGATTATTGGGGATATTTTTGAAGTCAGATCTGATTAAGTTTCTTATAAAAACGTATATGAAAGCTAGTGTGGATTTTTTCCTATTTAAAGAAAAATTGTGGGAGTTATATTTACTTATAGTAAATGTTATTAACTACTTCTAGGTCCAGACACAAAATATGGCTTCCCTTTGTGGGTTCCGGAGTCCCGTTGTGAGGAAAACAAGAATAGACCCACTGGCTCCCCAACCAATATGTCGTAAGAGCCGACTAATTAAAGTTGGAGTGCATCTGCCTGAGAGGCAAGGAACCAGCAGTCTGAATATAAATATGCAAGATCTGTGAAACTGATGTACACACAAAACTCAGGTCCTGGAACCAAGTCAAAGTCCAGAAATGGACGAACAACCAGGTCTTTCCTCCGGGTTTTAACAGCTGGTGAATGCAAACAATAGTCGGGAGTAATTAAGTAAAACACTCAATAAAGTATACAAGCAGAGCATACAACCACACTTGGAATATGGGTCAACTGCATGGTGTTCAGCATCTAGTACCACATTAAAGGAGCTGGACAAAGTGCAAAAATCAAGTGCTCAGTCATCACTGGGGGGATGAAATCAACCCCCATATTAGAAATGGAGAAAGCTGGGAAAACACAGGCACTGAGAGAACGCAGAGATACAAAGTTGCAAATACAAGCTGAAAAGTTCCTCAGTATGCCAGATCACCCGATGGAAAATAGATTTAAGAACCTAGCCTTGGGACGGTTAAAAAGAAGCAGCTATATACACCAAGCAAAAAGAATATGTAGACAAACTCCTGACCTTCCAGAAATTGGTTGCCCACTTAAAATTATTCCGGAACAAACCCTATGGAGAGAAAAATGCAAACTAACAGTACAAATCCAGACAAATGTGAAAGGGATATTTGACAAGAAAGAGCAAGATAGTGTACAATGCAAAATGGCCACCCTCAGTTATATTGATGAAGAATACCCACAAGAACAATGGGTCAGAGTCTATACAGATGGGTCTGCAGAAAGTGCAATTATAAATGGTGGTGCTGGAGTGTACATCGAATTCCCAGATGGTACTAGGGATAAGTCCAGCGTACCAACCGGGAAGTACTGCCATAACTATGAAGCAGAAACTCAAGCTATCAAGATAGCAACAGAGAAACTGCTAAATACCAATCTTGGCTCACAGTATGTGGTAATGCTTACAGATGCTAAATCCGTACTTGAAGCACTCCAGTCTAGGAAACTACCAGAATTGCAAACACTGCTGACACAACTTAGCGTTCAGCGAAGAGTCGTAATGCAGTGGATACCATCACATTGTGGAGTGCCTGGAAATGAGAAAGCTGATCAACTGGCAGGGGAAGGTGCGACAAAAGAGCAGCCGGATGTACCAGTCACATACCACCAAAAGAAAAAAATCATTAAATCGATCAGGAAACCACCAGCCCCAGCACAAGACGACTATTTTATTATGGACAGACCAGAACAAATCATTATCCTCTGCCTCAGAACAGGGCACAACTGATTACGTAACCACATGTACACAAAATTCAAGATAGGTGTATCAGCCATGTGCACCTGTGGAAATGAGCCCCAGACAGTAGAGCATATACTCCAGGACTGCACCGATTTTGACACATTAAGGCAAACCTTTTGGCCAGAAAGAACAACAGTGGAACGTAAACTCTATGGACCACTGAATGAACAAATGACGACAGTGAAATTTATACAAGAGACAAAACTGCTGATATAGGCAACTTATTTCAGGCGAATGAAAGAAGAAGAAGTAAAACACATCAATTGAAAAAAAAAAAAAAAAACCAAACCACAGAACAAAGTACCTAAAACAATTCAAAGAAAACTACAGAAAATAATGACATATTCCCTGATTAGTAAGGATTATCGTCACAGCACTCTGGGCAGATCGCTAGGTGCTCCAATCTCCTCCCCAACGAGTGATGTCACAAATTTAAGGGCAAGTGGATTTTTTTTGACTAAAAATGTTTTGATGTCCTGGCAGGTAGCTAACGAGGTCGTGGAGGAGCTGAATTTGAAACCTGAGGATGTTTATTTGGGTCAAGGTAATTTATACTGTCTCTTAGTGTGCGCACATTTGTACATGTTTATGCATGCGCACTTGTTGGCTTTACAGCTACCTTTGTAAGAATGGATTTTATAATCAAGCTTGTTACATTTATTTTTCGGTGTCGTCAACGCATTTCATATTTCCAAATGTCTGGATTGATTCCAGCTGCTGGAAGTTTGACAGCAGACCACTTTTCATTGATTTTGACAATGGTGCTAAGTGCGCTAACCCTTTAGAAAGCAGTGGCAAACTATTAAACTTGAAATTGCCTATTAAAACCAAATAGCCAGAAATGCTTTTGTTGATGTTGCAATTTTCTTCATCGGTCCGGAGTCCCATTTTGGGGGGAAACAGAATAGACCCACTACCCCCCTCGTCAACTAACTAGGGGGCTTCCTTCAAAGTTGGAGGGCATCTGCCTGAAAGGTGTGGAACCAACAGTCAGCATACAAGTATGTCAGATCTGTAAAACAAATGTGCACTCAGCAAAAGGTCCAAAGTCCATAGGTGAATGAACAACCAGAACAGTCCAGCAGAGTTAGCAGCCGGTGAATGTGTAGAAGACCAGCAGACGTTTAACTGATTTCATCATGCTTTCCAGGCACACTGCGACCAGATCTCATCGAAAGTGCGTCTTCTTTGGCCAGCGGGAAAGCAGACGCCATTAAAACACATCATAACGACACTGACCTGGTGCGAGAGCTGCGTGACCAGGTGAACTGTTGCCTTATTTATTTTCTGTTGTAGTTTTTCTTTTGTGTTTGCTTTCTAGGGAGTAAGCCAAAAAAATGTGCACACAGTTATCGTCCAGCAGTGAAATACATTAAAATATTCATAAACACTACTTGGTTAAAAATGTAATCATTACATGGCGTATTTTACCAAAGTTAGATCGCATTACGGTAGCTATGTCCAGGCAGACCTACCTGCAAACATTTGGTGTCCTCAATTGGAAAGTGAAGGCCAACCAGAGAGGTGAATGGAGGTGGATTATATCTTCAGAAATGAACCTCAAGGGCTCGGAATGCTGAAGAAAGGGAAGATTACGGTAGCTATGGTTATGAAAAGTGTCTGGAGGCTAATGGGAATCACTTTGAGCGCCTGTAGTAACTTCATACATTGCAAGTAACTTGTATGCATCTTTTTGTTCTATCCTTCACTGTTGCATACAACTCCTCCCAGTAGACCTGACAACTAAGCTTTGGGGAAACCTAAGAGACCTTGAGATGACATCCCAGTGTTTGGCCCACAATGGATTAAGCACATGACCAGAGATCACAGAAGATAAAGTCGGGAGATGTAAGCCAGCGTCATTGAACACGGTTATAAACCATAAGTGCTCTGCCACCAGTACGGACAGCTGATATGAAACTCCACAGCTACAGCAACGTTCCTCGATTCACACCCCAGAGTGTTAATTCTGGTACCCATTCCATGAGGCTGGGTGAACCCTGGGAACCGTCCGGTTTTGGACACAGGCCGTGGGCTGCAGCGAGTTGCAGATGGATTTGAAAACGAGTCTCCTATCGACTGTGCTAACTGAATGCAACTGTTACTAATATCAGAGAAGCAGAAGTTGTTATAATACAACAAAAATGTAAGGTACAAACTGGTACAGGAGTTGAAGTAACAGGTGCTTGGGGCTGCAAGTGTTATTAACAGTTTGATACAACTGTGATGCTTCTAGATGAGATGTGTCTGAAGCCTATAAGAGACTTGGCTGTTCTGTATTTACAGTTTTACTCCTTGCATTAATTCTAACCAATGATTAGGGCGCTAGAACAGAAAATAACTACCTGTGACTATTATTATGGCCTGGAGAGAATGAGGCACCTAGGTGTAACCAGAGGGTCTGGCCAGCTCACTACACTCAGAGGAAAGGCAAGACGGACTTTGAACCAAATTGGGACAGGTACCATCAGTATTGGAACTCTGCGCTGGCTGCTGAAAATGAGGGCGGAGAATGCATGGGAATGCCCCCGAGTGCTGTGATGTTAGTTCTCGACTCGACTCAATTCATAACTACATGTGAAATGCCCTGTCTCTGTACGATCACTAACAACACTAGAAGTGACAGGGTTATGAATACCAGCATCAGTGTTGAAGCTGGAATAAGACCATGTCTGGATTATACTGACAGATAAAGAATGAAATTGTTCAGCCATCTACTACGAATGCAGCCAGATCAAGCTGCATACATGACGTTTGCAGCAGAATATATGAGAGGAAGGCAAGGGAAAGACCAAGAAAGAGATGGATGAATGGTGTAGCTGAAACCTGCAAAAGAATGAACAAATCCATCAGTTGAAACAAACACAGAAGAGAATTAGTTCCCAGAGCAACATGTTTGAAACCTACGAGAGACTTGGCTGTTCTGTATCTGCAGTTTCATTCCTTGCATTAATTCTAACAGAGTCGTCTTTGAAGCCTTGGAGAGTTTTTGCTTGAGTACCCGTTTCCGCGCCTTTAGGCATGAAGTGCTTGGTGGCTAAGGTGATCAACATTACGCCGGCCACCTTTACTTTCCATGATTTTACCTGGTACCCATTTTAAGGCTAAGTCAACCTGTTAGCCAAGGTACTAAAATCCGGCTCCAGGTTGGCTATTCTATGTTTGCATGTTAATTCCTTTGCGTTAATTTTAACAGGGACGTGTAGTCGAGCCCCTGAAAGACTTTCACAAAGACGAAGTCAGGGCCATTGGTAAAGATTTGGGACTCCCAGAGGAGTTTGTTCACAGGCATCCTTTCCCAGGTGTGTGTTTATTAAGTTGTTTTATGTATGAGTACATTGTGACAGTAGGAAAGTTGGAGGGGAGAAGAGGCAGAGGGAGGCCAAGAGAACAGATGCCGGGCAGTTTGACATCATGGCATGGAGGATCCTCTGTGTCGGAGTTGATTGAAAGTACACGAGACAGAAGATTGTGGGAAGACATGACTACCAACGCCACACGGCATGGAGGATCATCTGTGTCAAAGTGGATTAAAAGTACACGAGACAGAAAGTTGTGGATAGACATGACTACCAAGGCCACACGGGGTGGACTTTAAAAAGATGAAGAACTGTATAAGTGCTGGTTATGAGTTGTTGAGTGTGTGATTGATGGGTATGTTGAGTTTGTCTACTTCTGGACTTTAGTCTGTACACTTCTTGACTTTAGACTGATTTTCAGGAGCTGACTTCTGCATGCAGATTCGTTTTATAGATGTGGCTCATTGATATGCAGACTGTTGGTTCTGTGCCTCTCAAGCAGTTACACTTTTTGCTAATAGCCCCCCCCCCCCCCCCTCTTTTTCCAAAACCACTCCAAGAAAAAGGGGAATGGGGCGTGGAACATACACAGAAAATGTACCCGTGATTTAAGAAGTAAAAAAAAAAAAGTAAAGGACTCTTTCCATGCCTTTAGGCGTATAGGGCATATAGGGCTAGACCTATATTTTTATAGACCAACGGCACAAGATGGGTGATGTGGTCAGCATCACGCCGGCCGCCTCTACTTCCCGGGACTGCACCCAGTACCCACTCAAGGCTGGGTCGACCTGGGAACCAAGGTCATTTTTTGAAGAAAAGCCCGTCTCCACCAGGGAGCGAACCCACGACCTTCCGATCCGCGGCGCGCGTCTAGCCGCTCTGCCACGGCGACTCCCGATTTAAGAAGACTCATTAATAAAAAGGTAACCCACAAAATTGTCATTCTATACATCTTCTCAATCAGCTGTGTGGCTAAGTCGATGCAAACGCTTTGTAATGCCGGGAAGCCGGGTTCGATCCCAGCTGTGTGCCATGGGCTTTGCGTTGGTTTCGACAGTGGTATCAAGAAAGCCGACCGTCCAGAAAGCAGTGACGTAAATTTGCCTAGAAAAACCACACAACGCCCAGGGGCTGTTGGGGTTGGTTCTGCAACGTCCTGTAAAAGATACGCAACTAACCTGTACATCTTCTCAACTTCAACCACAAACAAACAAAAATAACAATAATAAGTAAAGAAATACCATAAAGTAAGCAAAAGACTCAAGATTCCTATTCATGCCTTTAGGCGCGTCGGGCATATGGTAAGAGCACCCATATTTTTACAGATCAATTAGCAGTAAGTGGATAATGTGGTCAGCTGGCCGCCTTTACTTCCCCAGAACATGCAATCCTTGTACCCATTTAAGGCTGAGTCGACCTGCGATGCCCTATACCAGGGCTATTCAACTGGCGGCCTATGGGCCAAATCTGGCCCGCAAAGGCATAGCAGATGGCCCTCGGATCATTGTCAGTTGTACTATAATAATGAGCTGCTTATGCTGGGGCCTGAGACTCTGGCACGTGGCGATACCCATTTTCAAAATTTTGGCCCCTATGCAAATTTAGTTCAATAGCCCTGCCCTATACCATGATTAAAATCTACGCAGCCAGCAGTAAGGAAATGCCATTGGTAGGGTTTTAAAAAGAAAAACAGTTCCCTGAACTGATGCCAAGAGTGTGCATACATATCTATGTGCCCTAATTTGACGTACATGAATCAATTTTTTTTTAATGCAGTTTTTCTAACATAAAAAGAAAGTGTTGAAAATTATGTTTGGCTTACGATTAGTTCAACTTTGACTTTCAACCTACTGAACTCAGTCATAAGCCGAGGAGAAGGTTACTCTGTTTTTTCCCCGTCAACAGGTCCGGGCTTAGCCATCAGAGTGATCTGTGCAGATGAGCCGTTCATGTGTAAAGACTTTGCTGAGAATTCTGTGTTGCTGAGGATTATTTCATCCTTCTCCGTGTCCTCGAAGACAGTGAGTATTTGTCTGTCGTTGTTAAATCCATGTGTTCACTGCAGAGCATGTTGAAGTTAGTCTTGTGTTCTTTTACAGCAGTGTTCTTCAAAATGGGGGCCGCAGAAAAGTCGTTAGAAGCGAATAAAGCTTAATCGTGTAACATGTATGCCAGTTTGTCCTCTCCCTAACTAGTATGCCTGTTTGTCTGCTTCCTAACCACTGTGCCTGTTTGTCCACTCTCTAACTAGTGTGCCTGTTTGTCCACTCCCTAACCACTGTGCCTGTTTGTCCACTCCCTAACCACTGTGCCTGTTTGTCCACTCCCTAACCACTGTGCCTGTTTGTCCACTCCCTAACCAATGTGCATGTTTGTCCACTCCCTAACCAATGTGCCTGTTTGTCCACTCCGTAATCAGTGTGCCTGTTTGTCCATTCCCTAACCAGTGTGCCTGTTTGTCCATTCCCTAACCAGTATGTCTGTTTAGCCGCTCCCTAACCAGTGTGCCTGTTTGTCCACTCCCTAATCAGTGTGCCTGTTTGTCCACTCCCTAACCTGTGTGCCTGTTTGTCCACTCCCTAATCAGTGTGCCTGTTTGTCCACTCCCTAACCTGTGTGCCTGTTTGTCCACTCCCTAACCTGTGTACCTGTTTGTCCACTCCCTAACCAGTGTGCCTGTTTGTCCACTCCCTAACCAGTATGTCTGTTTGTCCACAGCCACACTCGCTGTTAAACAAGATAAAGTCATCGTCCAGTCCGGATGAGCAGAACCAGTTGATTAGGATTACCTCCACTTCGGCAATGACATCTGTGCTTCTCCCAATCAAATCTGTCGGCGTTCAGGTATGGCAGAAATAGTTTTGCCGGGTTTAATTTTAAAGCATGCTTTAGCGCTCGCTATGCTTAACTTACGTGTTGTTACAGACAAAACATCTCATTCCATTTTTATTTGTTTTATATTTGTTGTTAGTTTTTGTATTAAAGCAAAATATATATCATAGTTTTCTGTGTTTAAAACATTTAGTTCATGTTTAGCCCAAAATAAAGACATGAATATTTTAAAAACATGTCATGCAGTGGACGACCCCCACCTCCTCCCCACACACACATATACATATACACTCACACACACACCCCCTCACACAAGTATGCTCTACGTTTTCTCTGTTAGGATGGCATATAATTTTTCTGTTTACACTGCATATATTTTTCTCTTCTTAAATAAACTTTACATTTTCTCTTTTCATATGGCATTTATTATTCTTTTCAACATATGTACTTCACATTGTCTGGCATACATTTATGTTTTCCTATTTTAAAACCATTTTTTTTCTTGATTTAAACAAGCGTAAATTTAAAATTTACTTTTAAAAAAACATATATTTATATATATAAATTTTTTAAACATGCCTAAATTTACACTTTATTGTTTATATTTTCTTGTTTTAAAGCAAGTTAAAAAAAAAATTTTAACATGCATTTTTTATTGTTGCTGTTCTGGGACAGTATACGTACTTAGGTGCTCCTCTTCTACCTTGGGGTGTAGAGGTTTGCCAGATAGAAAGCCAGACGTCTCTATCAGCAGTTGTCTGCCCAGCGAACCCTGGGTCATCCTGGAGGTCCGATTCTCGGCCTACCATGTCTGCTTTGGTGGCTGATCCTCTCCTATCCTGCGTACATGACCAAACCATCGCAACGTGACTCATCCACTTGAGTTTGTAAGGCCTGAGTTTCAAGGTTGAATGTTTCCTGACCCTTTTTTGGGGAAAACAAGAATAGACCCACTGCCTCTGAGTTGTGTGTTAGATTATCTTCACAGCACTCTGGCACATCCATAGGTGCTCAGATTCCCCTCTCAGCATATTCATCAGCCTCGTGCGGTTAATAGTGCCAGTCCTATGTTGGTTAACAAGACTTCGTTCAGTGTGCTTCTCATGCTTGGCTATGCCGATCTTTACTCCCAATTCATGTATTCTTAGAAGTGATGTGGGCACATTGCTTCCAAAAACCTCAGCACGTCCTATCTGTCTAAGGGCAATGACAATGTCTGCGTGATCCTTGGGCGGCCTTCTTCAATTAATGCAGTACCTGCCAGTCTATCAGCTCTCTCATTACCAACAACGCCTGCATACCCTGGGACAATATGAAAGTAACTGCACACACAGGAGAGTTTTGCAATGACTCAAGCCACTGTTTGCCTCAGCCCGCTGGATCATTCTCACTACCTCTCCAACAAGCATGTCTTAAGAGTCTACCAATTGGGGACTTCCTTCGAAGTCGGAGTGCATCTGCCAGAGAGGCAAGGAACAAAAGTCTGTATGCAAATAAGTAAAATATGTAAAATAGATGTGCACGTAAAACACTCAGGTTCTCGAACAAGTCTAAAGTCCAGAGGTTGTCGAGCAACCAGAACTTTCCGCCAGAGTTTACAGCCGGTGAATGTGAAGCTGAGGAAGATCAAGGTGAAGTTTGTTGTTGTGAACTTTGTCTGAGACAATATTCTGTGAACAATTGTACTGATTTATTTGACACGATTCGGCAGGGAGACTGCAGAACATACAGTTATGTCGCAGCTTTGTCCAGCGACGAGGAGCCGGTCTGGGAGGATCTGATGATTTTAGCCAAGATTATTCCGAGGATCTGCCACAATATCAACAGGTGGGTCTAGAGGTTCTTGTTGTTTTTGTTATTGTTTCTTTCCCCCTTGTGTGTTATGGGGCCCCATTTTAGGGGAGGAAGGAGAAGAATAGACCCACAGCCTCCCTTTCAAGCCTGTCGCAAGAGGCGACTAATTAGGAGTTTTTCCTTCGAAGTTGGAATGTTTTACCTGAAAGGCAAGGAACCAAAAGTCTGCATACAAATGTGTCAAATGGGTGTGCACACAAAACTCATGTTTTGGAATAAGACCAAAGCCCACAAGTTGATAAACAGCCTGCTGAAATGTTGTGAATTCCCGGGGAAATGTCAGAGGACCAGTGATACAAGAGAAAAACGAGATAAGTGGGTCTCGTGTATCCCGTGGTGAGCCAAATAAGGGATACAAGAAAAGCACGGGACTAGAACGGAAGACGTGAACCGAGAGACGAGAGTAAGACAGTTGAAGTTCGGACCTGGTTGCGAGAGGTCGTATGAATGGATGCATGAGAAGAATGAAGGAATTGTGAATACTTGTTATGTTTCGAGAGAAGATATGAATGCTTCCTACATGTCTTAATGCCGAGTACAAGGTTTCGTTGAAGGATGGATGGACGATTCGAAAGACGCTGATGGATCGAAGTAGTGTGTGAGAAGTTTGACCAGGCCGCCAGAATCAGCCACACTGATCTTCTGACTAATATCTTTATAGACCAATCAGCACTCGCTGAGTGGTGAGGTCAGCATCTTGCTGGCTGCTTTTACTTTCCATGACTTTACCAGATACAGAACTCAGTTTAGGCTTGGCCAAGGCTCTTTTTTTTTTTTTTTTGAGCAAAAATCTTTCCATCAACTGCAATTCTAGTGATGGAGTGTTTATGTTAGCATTTCTGACGGCTGCCTCATGGATTTAATGTAAGGTAAAGGTGAGAGGATCGACTTCATTGCACAAGGTTTTTACACCACATGGCTCAATCTTTCACTGCTGTACAGCTAACTGCCTGTCTAGAGCGTCGTACAGAGCACGACCTCCATAGCTCCGGTGACGATCCCCAGGGATCGTGAACTGAACAGCGCAGCGTGAAGCAAACCCACAACCTCAGAGTGTGAGGCAGGCGGCTTTGCCATGGAGACCCTGGAAATGTATGAGTGTGTAACTCTGCTAAGGCTGCAGCCCTTTTCAGTGTTATTTTTTCCCCCACATAGTACTGCGGTGGTTTTTTTTCCTGGAACAGGAAGTAAACTGAGTGGTTATGGGTGGTGACCTGTTTGATGTGAAGTTGGCACTTTAATTAACAGTTTAACACACCTACACGTATTTGCAGACATACATATGTGCTGACACACATATACTCTCTGTGAGTTCAGGACAGACATCACAGCACTCAAGACTATTCTCGTGAGCGCTCCATCACCATCTTAGCAGCAAGCACAGAGTTCGAATTCCTGTAGTAACAGTAACAAACATTCTGTTTGTCCGTCATCACCCCTCGCCTGTGTTTTGAGCGCCAGCCAGATTTCCTGTTCACCCGATGCTGCGCCATTCTCTTCAGACCGTGATGATCTGTTTGTTATCATAGTTGACGTTACTGCACATTGGGCATTCCCATGCATGCCACCACACACGCTTAAGACTGGCGTTGGTGTACTGACAGTGTGGGTATTCAGAGAGAACCATGTTAAGGAGGCCTTTGACGGGTTCACTTGTGCTCTCGATTCCTGGCATTACTCACTGAGTCTGTCTAGTTCATGTTGTTGCCTGGTTGTAATTTCCTTTCTACCTCGACAGTACACACGGATATCATCTGCATTGTTCTGCCTAGGCCTACGCTTTGTGCACTCGGAACTCCTGCTGTGTACACATTGAAGAGCACCAGGGACAGTGGTAATCCCTGGGGCAGACCCACTAGGACGCGTTGAGGTTCGGATGCCCATTCACCACATCGAAGCGACACCGTTCTTTCAAATAGCGCTGCAGCGATTCATTTGACCCATTTTGTTTCTGTCTGCATATCCAACAGCAATCTGATGAGCATGTTGTATGGGACGTTGTTGTACGCATCATCTAAGTCAATAGCGGCTGCAGCCGTTTCCATTCCCTCCTGGAAACCCTTTTTGTGTCTTAGGCCTTGCATCATGTATCTCTCCCCGGTCGGTGACCGTTGTGATGATCTGTTTGTGCCTACACACTGTTAACTTGCTGGCCAGGTCTTAAAAGATCTGAACATCAAGGAAGATTGGCTAATAAACAGCATCCTTTCTCGAAAGCTGAAATATTTTGGTCATATCAAGCGCCACGACGGATTGAAAAAAATTATAGCAGAAGGCATGGTACCAGGAAGGAGGGGCAGAGGCCGACCGACACGAAGATGGGCACAGGATATAAGTGACTCCTTGAGTGTGAAAGTTCATGAGGCAAGAGACTGAGTTTCTTATAGGCAGAGTGTGATGAGAGTGACGTTCTGCAAAGGACCTGCTACATGATGATGATGGTGCAAAACCAGCCATTTTATCTGCCTGTTGATTTCTCAGCACACCTGTATGACCGGGAGATAACTGATAATCTATACACGCACTGATAAACTAAACACGCACTAACTGATAATCTATATATGCACTGATTATCTATACATGTACTGATTAATGGTCTGTACGTTGTTCCACAGAGTGGTGTATGTGTTCGGGGGCCCGGTGTTGCACCATGTTGAGGACGTGACCCCAACGTTTCTTACAACCGGTGTTCTGTCAACCCTAAGACAAGCAGACTACAATGCCACTCGCACCCTGGCAGAGTCCGGCTATTCTTCAGCTGTGTCCCAGGTTTGTATCTTTTTTAAAATTTATTCTGTAGAATCATGACTCAGTCAGGGGCCATCTCCACAAATACGGTCAGCTGTAGTGGATCTTCAACACGCTTTGCCTTTTATCTTGGTTGTGCACTCTCTCACACTGATGTTCATCCATCTCTTGATGCTGTTCTACCATTTGTAATGTTGCCTACGTTACAGTACGTGAATAGGACCTTGATTTCTGCGTGTCTCTGCTTGTGTTGGGTTATGCGTCTGCGTGTATGTCTGTGTGCGTATGTGTGACTGTGTGTGTATATCTGTGTATGTGTGGGTGTTGCGTATGTCTATGTGTGTGTCTGTTTCCCTGCTTTTGTGTGTGTATGTGTTTGTTTGTGCCCGTGACTGCATGTGTGTGTGTCTGTATGTGTCTGGGTTGTATGCGTGTGTGTTTTAGAGCGTGTGTATGTGTGTGTATGTATGTATGTATGGATGGATGGATGGATGGATGGATGTATGTATGTATGTATGTATGTGATTTTGTATGTATTTTTGTATGTATGTATGTATGTATGTATGTGTGATTTTGTATGTATTTTTTTATGTATGTGATTTTGTATGTATTTTTGTATGTATGTGTGTATGTATGTGTGTGCATGTTCGTGTGTATGTGGATGTATGTGTGTACTGGGTCCTATGTGTTTGTTAGTTAGTTAGTTAGTTAGGTTATCCTCATTGCACTCCGGACATGTCCATAGGTGCTCAGATTCTCCCCTCAGTATGAACCCCAACGTCCGATGGCTAATAGTACCAGTTCTATGTTGATTAACAAGTCTTCTGACGTGTCCGGTGTGCGTCTCGTTTTTTGCTGTGCCGATCTTAATTCCCAAGTCTGCCATTCTGGCGAGTGATGTGGATTCACTGCCACCAAAGTCCTCTATTCTTCCCATTTCTCTGAGGGCATTGATAATATCAGCATGATCCATAGGCCGACCGTCGGTAGTGATAGCGGATCCAGCCAACCTGTCAGCTCTTTCATTTCCATCGACGCCTGCGTGTCCCGGAACAAAAATAAAGGTGACTCCACGCACAGTGGACTTCTGTAATGATTCAAGCCATTGTCTTCGCACTGAACCTGCCTGAACCCTCCGGATCATACTCATTGAATCACTGAGTATACATATGCGGGTGTATTTTTGTGTTTCAAGCCAGGCAAACGCTCGCGTCACTGCCATCACCTCCATCGTCATGCTGTCCTATGTGTTTGTGTGTAAGTAGTGATTGGGCTTGTGTGTGTATGTGGATGTGTGTGTGTTCGCGCGTGAGCGTGCGCACATATTTTACCACCCATGCTTTTGTTTTTGATTTCATTTCCATAATATGCGTATCATTTCATGAATATAACATGCTTTATTGATGAAATACAACTGCTGTGTGAAAGATGGAAGTTTGGAAGGGCCGAATGTAAGAAGGCCTGCGTGCCTAATTTGTAACCCTTTGAAAATAAAGTTTGTTTGTTCATTCGTTCGTTCGTTTGTTCGTTCCCCCACGTGGGTTCCGGAGATCCATTATGGGAAACAACAAAGAATAGACCTGCTGCATCTCTAACAAGCATGTCCTAAGAGTCAAATAATTAGGGGCTTCCTTTGAAGTCAGAGTGCATCTGCCCGAGAGTCAAGGACCCAACAGTCTGCATGCAGATAAGTCAGATCTGTATAATGGATGTGTATGCAACACTCAGATTCTGGAACCAGACAAGTCCAGAGGTGGATGAACAACCAGAACTTTCCGCTGGAGTTTACATCCAGCGAAGAAGATTTACATAAGCGTTTGTTGGGTCTGCAATCTGCAGTGCTAAGTGAGAAACTGACTTGGTCTGTTTTGTTCAGGTGGTTGATAAAATCTTTTTCATGGTTATAACAGGGCAGGCTTGAGAATTAAGACCGGCATAGCAAAAAACGAGATGCACACCAGAAGACTTGGTAATCAACATAGAACTGGTACTGTTAGCCATCGGACATTGGGGTTCATACTGAGGGGAGGATCTGAGCACCTATGGACATATTCGGAGTGCAATGATGATAACCCAACTAACTAACTTCTTAACCTGTGGCTGTTTCTGATTCATCATTCATCCAAGTCTCATCAGAAGCAATACGATAGTTGCGTGTTGTAATATTTTTATGTGGATAAATTCTGTTACCATTAATAATGAAAATATCTCTCTTAATTTGTGTTCACAGATGCCGATTGTGCTAATACCGATTCACTTTGACAGAGACCCCAGCATGCATCTGCCTTCCTGTCAGCGGTCGGTGGTCATTCGTACCTTCATTACAAATGATTTTATGACTGGAATACCCGCGACGCCTGGCAAGCAAATCCCTGTCAAGGTAAGTGTTTGTTTTTTAAATCCATCTTTTCATTCTGTCACTAATCCATTAAATGTTTTCATTCATCTTCTTCTTCTTCTTCTTCTCTTCCACCTTGTACCTCATCGAAGTGTCGAGGGAAGATGTAACGTTCGTTGATGAGCTCTGTCAAGAGCATTATTAAGACTGATGTTAATTTCTGTAAGGCTGTTCTTAATGCCATCACTCCATATTTTCCGAGGTCTTCCACTCGCTCTATACCTGTTGTAACTTAATAGTGGATTAGAGCTATGTTTTAGTGTGGCTCCCTGTGGCGGATAGTACCAGGGCATTCTTTTTAGGTGTCCAAACCACTTCATTTGTTGTTCTTTGATGACCTGTAAGACTGGCTTTATTCCTAGCATTCGTCTGATTTCATGATTTTGTATTCTGTCTTTCCTTGAAACTCCTCCAGCTCTTCCATTAATTCATTCATCCATTTATTGGTCATTAATGCATCCATTCATATGATTTCATATTTCCTTTCACTTGAGTCATCATTCTTGCATTTAATTACATTTTTATGTATGTATTTGTATTCTCATGTCTTTGTTTATATTTTTATCCATCCTTACATCCTATTTATCCGTCATCCTTTATAATGAATCACTTTCTTCATTCATAATTAAGTAAAGGACCCCTTCAAGCCTTTGGGCATATAGGGCTAGACCTATATTTTGTAGACCAGTTGGCACTCAGTAGGTGATGTGGACGACATCACGTTAGCCACCTTTACTTCTCAGGACTTTTCCTGGTACCCATTTAAAGCTGGGTTTCCCTGTGTGGATTCCGAGGCCCTATTATAGGGAAAACAAGAATAGAACTACTGCCTACCCAAAAGCATGTCGTAAGAGTCGACTAATTGGGAGCTTCCTTCGAAGTCGGAGTGTGCCTGAGAGGCAGGGAACCAGCAGTCTGCACACAAATGAGTCATCTGTAAAACGGGTGCACGCGCAACACTCAGGTTTTGGAACAGGACTGCACGACGCTGATGTATATGTTGAAGGGGGAATCTGAGCACCTATGGATGTGTCGGGAGTGCTGTGAAGATAACCCAACTTATACCATGACCATGTTTTACTCGACAGGTAATCAACCAGATGGTGGAGAACGTCCTCCAAGTTCCTGGAATCTCTCGAGTCCTCTACGACCTCACAGCAAAACCACCAGGCACCACCGAATGGGAGTGAGGGGATTGGAGTGTTGGTTTAGCTCAGTGTCGCTCGTTAAAAGCTGTTATCTTTCATTGAATTGACATGTTTATGATAATGTTTGTTGTATTTTCTTGCTGGTGGGATATTATGAAATCTTGGCAGCTGGGTTGTTGTTGTTGGCCAGCCTGCAGGTAGACGGATCTTCAGGCAGGCTACTAGTCTTTGGGTATTTCATCCTTCAGGTAGGCATCTTCAAAGGGCCAACCTTCAGGGGTATCCTCCTTTTGGCTCAGGTGTATCATCTGTTTGGTAAGGGGAATCATTAGGTAGGCTAGTCTTCCAGTATATCATGCTTCAGGCAGGCCAATCTGTGGGTATGTCATTCTTCAGACAGGCCAATCTTTGGGTGTATCATCCTTCAGGCAGGCCAATCTTTGGGTGTATCATCCTTCAGGCAGGCCAATCTTTGGGTGTATTGTCCTTCAGGCAGGCCAATCTTTGGGTGTATCATCCTTCAGGCAGGCCAATCTTTGGGTGTATCATCCGTCAGGCAGGCCAATCTTTGGGTGTATCATCCTTCAGGCAGGCCAATCTTTGGGTGTATCATCCTTTAGGCAGGCCAATCTTTGGGTGTATCATCCTTCAGGCAGGCCAATCTTTGGGTGTATCATCCTTTAGACAGGCCAATCTTTGGGTGTATCATCCTTCAGGCAGGCCAATATTTGGGTGTATCATCCTTCAGCAGGCCAATCTTTGGGTGTATCATCCTTCAGATAGGCATCAGGTAGGGCAACTTTCAAAGATAGTGTTCTTTTACTAGATCAACTTTAATGTACATTAATTCCCCTCCCCCTTTTTTTCCCCAACTTTTTAGTAGGGCAGCCTTCAGATATGTCAGCCTTTAGGTATATCAACCTTTTGATAAACCAATCTTTACGTTTTTCATCCTTTTAGTAGGCTACTCATCAGGTATCTTTAGATTTAGGTCTATCATTCTTTTGCTAGGCTTATCATCAGGTATCTTTAGCTTTAGGTATATCACCTTTTTGGTAGGCTACTAATTAGGTATCTTATCTTCTAGGTGTATCATCCTTTTAACAGGTCATTCCTTGCGTAGACCAAACTGAGTTCAACACATGTGAGATGCATGTAAGAAGTCTGGCGTTATTGCTCACTTCAAATAGTTTTGGTCCTTGCTTCTTTCTGTGTACCTGTCTCTTACCATTCTAACATAGCTTCACTGTAGTCTGTCTGTTATTTAAAACCAAATTGTTCATGGCTTATGATTTGCATCTGAGGTCGGGGGGAGGGGGCAGGGAGTTTGAAGTTGTCAATTTTGTTTGTAAAGAATAATAATTTGAGAGGGGAAGAGTTCATGTTATCAGTCTTGTTGCTGCACAATAATCTGTTGTAAGGGGGAGGAGTTAAGGTTGTCAGTTTTTTTGTTGCACAGTAATCTGTTTTCTTCCCTAGGAATAAATATATGAATCTTGGATTGCACAATGGTTTCTTATTATCTATCCATGTATTGACACTGCTTGTGCAGTGTGGGGTCATTGTTTTTGTTTAATTTTTTAGGTAGATGTTTTTCCCTTTCCTCATCCCTTTACTTGACAGTAGTCTGTTATCTATCCATATATAGACATTGTCCACAATTGTAGGCGGGGCTTAAAGCTGTCAGACTTGTGCTACACAGTAGGCTGTCCATATGTGTACAGTGCTTTTCACATTTGTAGGCGGGTTTAATGATATAATTACTTGTCAAGTCTGTTGTCTGAATAAAGAAGATAGAAACAACAGACTAAACAGTTTTGTTGCTGAGCATATTTGTTTGTATCAGGTCAGGAAAATACCATGGTAGCAGTTGATTAAATTCAGGGCTGTTTGATTAAATTTGCTCAGGGGCCTAAATGTTGAAAATATGCCTCACCATATGAGGGTGACCTGACCTTTTAGCATAAACATATCATTAATACGATAACTGGCAAATATCTGCTGATCAGTTGATAGGCATCATGGGGGGTAGGCCGCCATTTGAATAACCCTGGTTTAAATTAATCCTTCTGGCTGAAATACAGAATTAACTACTCAAAAGTAAGTTGCCGTTTTTACCAGGCAGTAAATTGTCTTTTCTGTTGTTTGTGTCTTCTTTGTTCAAATTGACTGCAGGGAAACATCCTTCTGCTTCTTCTCGTTCACCCAAAAAATTCTGGTTGTTCGTCCACCTCTGGACTTTTTCTAGAACCCGAGTGTTGCGTGTACATCTGTTGTACAGATCTGATTTAATTGTATGCAGATTGTTGGTTCCTTGCCTCTCAGGTAGATGCACTCCGACTTCAAAGGAAGCCCTCAGTTAGTTGACTCTTACAACATACTTGTTGGGGAGGCAGTTGGTCTGTGTTGTTCTCCCCACAATGGGACCCAAGAACCCATACGTGTGAGTGAATCATTGCTTTGGTAGTCTGTTTGTAATGAGGATTACAATCACTGAAACAGTTTCTGGTAAACTACGTGCATTTATTAATTAATGCCTGTGTGCAATAGAAGAGATTGTATGGTATGAGAGAATCACCAGTAAGGAATGTTTAAAGAGAACCAAACCAATTCCTGTGATACTCCCTGTGTGGGTTTTTGGGCCCCGTTGTGGGAAAAACAAGAATAGATCCACTGCCTACTAAAATAGCCTGTTGTAAGAGTCGACTTCATGGGAGCTTCCTTCGAAGACGGAGTGCATCTGCCCGAGCTGCAAGGAACAACCAGCTGCACACAAATAAGCCAGTAAAACTGATGTACACACAAAACTCAGGCCCTGGCACAAAGCCAAAGTCCAAATAGACGAACGACCAAGACTTTCCGCCAGAGCTTACAGCCGGTGAACAAAGAAGAAGACTAGACATACCTGGGGTAAGCGTGGTAATAGTGTAACTAGAATGTCCTTGTGCTGGAACACACAGCTCCAAAGAAAATAGGGGAGACACCACCCTTCCAACAACAGAAGAATCAAGAATTTTCCAGATATGTGAAGCAGATGGAGTAGACAAGGAGAAAGCGTTGCAAGATGGCGAAGGACAAGGAGACTTGGGGGGAGTTTGATTGATGGCGAAGGACAAGGAGACTTGGGGGGAGTTTGGTTGATGACGAAGGACAAGGAGACTTGATGGGAGTTTGATTGATGACGAAGGACAAGGAGACTTGGGGGGAGTTTGATTGATGATGAAGGACAAGGAGACTTGATGGGAGTTTGATTGATGATGAAGGACAAGGAGACTTGGGGGGAGTTTGATTGATGACGAAGGACAAGGAGATTGATGATGAAGGAGACTTGATTGGGAGTTTGATTGAAGGACAAGGAGACTTGATGGGAGTTTGATTGATGACGAAGGACAAGGAGACTTGATGGGAGTTTGATTGACGATGACGAAGGACAAGGAGACTTGATGGGAGTTGATGACGAAGGACAAGGAGACTTGGGGAGAGTTTGATTGATGATGAAGGACAAGGAGACTTGATGGGAGTTTGATTGATGATGAAGGACAAGGAGACTTGGGGGGAGTTTGATTGATGATGAAGGACAAGGAGACTTGGGGGGGGGGATGTTTGATTGATTGATGAAGGACAAGGAGACTTGGGGGGAGTTTGATTAATGACGAAGGACAAGGAGACTTGGGGGGAGTTTGATTGATGATGAAGGACAAGGAGACTTGGGGGGAGTTTGATTGATGACGAAGGACAAGGAGACTTGGGGGGAGTTTGATTGATGATGAAGGACAAGGAGACTTGGGGGGAGTTTGATTGATGATTGGGGGGAGTTTGATTGATGACGAAGGACAAGGAGACTTGATGGGAGTTTGATTGATGATGAAGGACAAGGAGACTTGGGGGAGTTTGATTGATGACGAAGGACAAGGAGACAAGGAGACTTGGGGGAGTTTGATTGTTGGGGTGAGTTGATTGATGACGAAGGACAAGGAGACTTGGGGTGAGTTTGATTGATGATGAAGGACAAGGAGACTTGGGGGGAGTTTGATTGATGATGAAGGACAAGGAGACTTGATGGGGGAGTTTGATTGATGATGAAGGAGGAGACTTGGGGTGAAGGAGACTTGGGGTGGGATGATGAAGGAGACTTGGGGGGATTTGATGATGATGAAGGACAAGGAGACTTGGGGTGACAAGGAGACTTGGGGGAGTTTGATTGATGATGATGGAGACTTGGGGTGAGTTTGACAAGGAGACTTGGGGGGAGTTTGATTGATGATGAAGGACAAGGAGACTTGGGGGGAGTTTGATTGATGATGAAGGAGACAAGGAGACTTGGGGGAGAGTTTGATGATGGGGAGTTTGATTGATGATGATGAAGGACAAGGAGACTTGGGGGGAGTTTGATTGATGATGATGAGACTTGAAGGATGAAGGACAAGGAGACTTGGGGGGAGTTTGATTGATGATGAAGGACAAGGAGACTTGGGGTGAGTTTGATTGATGATGAAGGACAAGGAGACTTGGGGGGAGTTTGATTGATGATGAAGGAGACTTGGGGGGAGTTTGATTGATGATGAAGGACAAGGAGACTTGGGGGGAGTTTGATTGATGATGAAGGACAAGGAGACTTGGGGGGAGTTTGATTGATGATGAAGGACAAGGAGACTTGGGGTGAGTTTGATTGATGATGAAGGACAAGGAGACTTGGGGTGAGTTTGATTGATGATGAAGGAGACTTGGGGGGAGTTTGATTGATGATGAAGGACAAGGAGACTTGGGGGGAGTTTGATTGATGGCGAAGGACAAGGAGACTTGGGGGGAGTTTGATTGATGATGAAGGACAAGGAGACTTGGGGGGAGTTTGATTGATGGCGAAGGACGAAGGACAAGGAGACTTGGGGGGAGTTTGATTGATGATGAAGGACAAGGAGACTTGGGGTGAGTTTGGATGATTTGAGTTTGATTGATGATTGATGATTGATGAAGGACAAGGAGACTTGGGGGGAGTTTGATTGATGGCGAAGGAAGGACAAGGAGTTTGACTTGATGGGAGA